GAGCTGAACAGACAAATAACCTTTCTGGATGTTTCTGCTGTCTGTCTTTGGCAACCAACCACTCTCTTTTTCTTCTGTATAATTTCTACTACTGTACATGCTCAACTCCATTTTCCTTAGCTTTTTTAAGCCCCTCTGAACATTAATGTCATGTAAGCAAAATATTGAGCGATAAAAAAATCCCTCCACGTATCTGATCCACCTTTCTTACAGGTCCGAATGAAAAAACACAAACTGGGAAACATTTTTTTCAAAATCTTATCCAATTATCACAAGCTGGAACAAAGTCTTAGATACCCAAGGTCTTGTACAGTAATAACTAGATGTATTGATGTAGCATTGGTCAATTAGAAATTAAAGAGATGCATCATCACTATCTTTCAAAAACTCTTAGGCATATTGCCCAATTGATTTGGCAGATTTCATCACATCTGAGCCTTTATAACTGTGCTGCAGTGACAATTGACTCAAGCAATTTTTTCCTCTTTTGCAGCTGGTCAAGTGTGAAATTTCATTTATCTGGATAGTGCCTATTGCAATGTGGGAAGTGTTCTGGTCAGAATGACCATATTCCAACGCCAATCCCTCATGAAGAAATTCAAGGTCAAAATGTCACTCCGTACCAGTCAACTTAGCCCAACCAACAGCAAAACCATCAATGTCTATTCTCCCTACACATAGTAGGTACCTTTACAGTCTGGTAAATGCTTCTTGGGACATCTCATAAGCATTTCAAAGGTCTCATGGGGATTGCGTTATCCAAAAAATGTGTACAGAAGGGCTATAGCCCAAAAAGGGTGACAGAGATTGATAGACCGAGGTGGTTAACCAAATCAAGCTCCAATCTTTAAGAAAAAGAACCTCAGGACAACCATCATCCAAGCTAAAGACAACCATAAGCAGCTTAACAAAACGTTTAAATATATACAGTACTGTAGTGTAAAGATTTTTTACATGCTTAAGCCAAAACAAGCTACAAGAAGTAAAACAATTTCAGGGCAACCATTATCCACGCAAACCGTGGTCCAGTATCTTAAGGACAACCCTACGCTGCTGAATGGAACCCAAATAAAATAAAGTATTGTACTTTATCAGTATTGCTTTAATTTCCCACACCACGAATCCATCCAGGTCAATTGTACCATTGACAATTAAAATACAATCAAGTTATGTGGTTTTTAAAAGAAACTGTTATCCAATACCTTAGGGACAACTCCAAGCGGCTAAATAAAAATCAACACAGTAGTGTTATGTGGTGATGTGCTTGCATAAAAAAACAAGCTACAAGAACAAGAAACTGTCAACAGCCATAACCCAAGCAAACCAAACCGTGGTCCTTTATCTTAAAGACAACCCCACACTCCTAAATGGAACATAAAATGGATAAATAACATTGCACTTTATTAGCATTCCTCTCATTTCCGTAAACAAGAATTCAACCAGTTGAAAATGTTCTTGTCATAATATCATACCCAATTAAAATGCAACAAATGTTCCTCATTGTACACGTGCTTGGTCAATAATTAGACAAGGCCTTTTTGAGTACTTTTTCAAGGTATCCAATATTGTACTAAATTTTGTTGTTGTTTTTTTTTCTTAATATAATTATATAAATTATTATTGTTGATGTTGCTGCATTACAAAATGTAAAATTTGATGTAAGTTTTGGGCAAAATTTTCCTCTGGGGTGGTCGGCTAGAATACTGCTTATTCTAACACTCTTGTGAATAAGTTTTTACTCAGCTGGCCTATTTCTGTTCTATTTGACCAAAAAAACGTCACAGGCATGATGTCTAGTTTGATGCTCATGGTGAGCTACACATGGTAGTCATTGATCATGATGAGTTAGGGGTTGTCTCCCTTTTATGTGTGGTCTCCAAAGTACACATTTTAGAGTACCTTACCCTATGACAGGGTTCATACAAAAAATTGCCACCATTTTTCAAGGACTTTTCAAGGACCACCTACTAGAAATATTTTTTCACAGACTGTACAAAAATGAACACCTCCAGTCTATTTTAATAAGGCTTTTAGGCTTGAACTGTTTGCTTCACCAACTTCTCTACATTTTTCAGTTCACTTGTCTTAAACTGATAGTTAATTATTGCATAAAACCTTGAGCACTTTGTGTAAATAACCTTTAAACTGTCTGAGTTATGATTCATATTCTGTCTTGGACAACCAAAGAGCATCAAAGAACACTTTCCAAGCCACTAAATTCAAAGTTGAAGAAAATACAAGGACTTTTCAAGGACTTACACAACAATTTAAGGACGTTTCAAGGAAAAATGGAATTCAAGGACTTTTCAAGACTGTGTGAGCCCTGTAAGAAAGCAAAGGGACTGGCAGCCAGTACAAACATGGAAAGATATTATTTTGGTTACATCAGTGACTGAACTCAAGCATTTGACGTCATCATTATCATAAAAGTTTCAAGCTTGTGCTTTGACCTGATAGCCAAGTCTTTTAATGATATATGCAGCAATGAATCATGGGAATTGAGAGGGCAACCTGCTTTGCAAGAAAATTCCATTAGTTAAAAAATACCTCATAGCAACAAAATGCCCCTAGATACAATGCAGTTGACCAACAACCACTCAAACCAAGGTGCCTTTTTTGCGATACATTTGAATCAGATTTTGAAATGCACAGCTACAGTATCAACATCTTTCTATTTCACTCTCAAAACTCTCAAACGAGGCTTCAACCATACCTGCCAACAAAAGATAATAATTCTAGAGGGTAGTCTTATTGTGGGAGTTTAGTATTACACATTGTTTCGAGGTAGTTATCCACATATCACCTTACTACGATCCACTCACTTGGTATTTGTATGCATTAACTGGCAAATTGTAATTAAAATAAATTAGATTTACTTGACGTAAATTTTATCACTTTTTTCTTTACAGACCCAGGTTCTATAGATCATTGAACAGATTTTGGCATTTCCTGGTGACATCCACAACAGGGGTGTGGATTCTAGTCTCTCTGTCCTTGTCTACTCAAAACCAGGCCTATCCAAAATGAGCTTAAAAAAAGTCCTGGTAACTACATTTGTAAATTTAACTGCTTTTACGGTGACTTTTCTTGGATTTTCAAAATGGCAGCAAAAAAATTAAGTTTCCCCTGGGAGAAAAAGTGCGGTGCGGTTATTTATCAGTAATTTTCACAGTATGTTTCATGCAATCAGTGGGGAAAAGGGAGAAAATTTCAAGTTCAAGATGACAGGTATGTTTCAACAGTTTACTGTTTCATTACACCCTTGAGTTTATGTTCATTTTGAGCTTCTGCACTTTTCATGTAGTGCCCCTGATTTTTGCTTAACCGATTGAGAAGTGCATCTATGGCTTAGTTCCATACCCTTTGAGCCCTTTGTATGTATGTTTTAACTGCAAAAAGAATAATGCTGGAATTTCAGAACATTATTGAAAGTTAGTTCACCTCTGTGATCAATGTAATTTAAGCGTCTGCACTTTTGGACCAGAAGCCCTAATAACAAGATTTTTAAGTCTTGGGTTTTCGCATTTTGCTTTTAAATTAATTTTCTGTTTAAAAAGCCACCGCCGTGATAAACTGACAGCTTTTTGATGGCCTGGATCTAATTTCAATCCTGACCCATGACCCATTCTGTACAATGTGGTGAAAAACATGACAAAGGCATTTGAGGGATTGAAAGAGGCTCGCTGTGGACAACTTAATCAGGGGGGCAGCAAAGAAGTTTCATGAACAACTTAAAAACAGAGCACAAGTTTGTACCATAATTTTTCAATATTAAAATATTTGATAACAATAGTGGTGGAATGTGTTTCCTATAACCTGACCCAAGAACAGTCAGATTTTTTTTTCCATAGAGCTATGGCATGCACAAACTCTTTCCGTTTTTCACATCTGGCTGCAGTGATTTCTTTTAGGATATAAAAGATAACCCTCATTTTGCATGGAATTTATTACTTTAAGAAGCAATAGACAGATACATGTACACCATATCTGGCAAACTACCTTCACGGTTGGAGGTTGAACTGAACTCGCTGAAAGTCCCGCACAAAAGCAATGGCTACATATGCAAGGCCTGTTGCAGAAAAATAAAAATAGTAAAGAAAAATTGAGGGCAATCTTGGAAAGGTTGCAGAAGTAGCTTAAGTTTGAACGTTAAAGTTAATACAGAAAGAGAGGAACATGCAGTCAAGTTGGACAGTCCAGTTGCCAGCCTTGTGAAAAAGAAAGCCACATATCTAACATAATTACCACTGCCAATTTCACCCCTCAAAGCACCAGCACACCACTGAAAGCTAGTCAGCCACCTCCTTTTCGATTGACCGACGAAAACCCAAAGAGTCGTTTTAGGGTAAAAGCATTAACGTGAATGTTCGAGGAAAAAGATCTTTTTGCAATTATTGCTTGGGCCTTACAGGTATTTCTTTTGTGCACAAAAAGGCTCATAGCTATAAACTTTGCACTCAAAAAAGTAAGCAAAGCTCACTATTAAGTCACTTAGCTACAATCTGCTGAAGCTAAGAACGATGTGCCTTTGGAACAAAGTTGAAACAATTTAAAATAGCTTGCATATCTGGAGTCTTGTCCCCAGACTTCCAGCTTTGTCTCGTTTTCGTCCAGCCAACATTTGCGTGCTTTCACTTCCATTCACTGAGTATTGCTTTTCACTACCTTCACACACAGTGAACACATTTTTGATAGGCTTCATGTTTTACTGGGGGTAGAAACTCTCAAAACATGTGATGAGACGCAAGCTCCCACCATCTGAACGCTTGCGTGGAACAGTATTTTCTTTTTGCGGGTGTCATTTAGACATTTAAGAGCCAAAGGACATGATGATGTCCATCGCCTTTTTGGCTTGGGTAACACCTGAGGAGGCTTCAACATACTACAGTAGTTTTCACAAAAAATTGGAAGATAAAAAAGACCAAGACATCAAAAGGAAAACATGGAAGCAGTACATGTATGCTCTCTATCAAGAAAGTAAAGAGACCCTGGTCAATTGAATGTGTAGTCAATCTGGTCTACTTGCCAGTGGAAAAAAACATGAGCTTGTGGAATGCTTGTCACAGAAAAACACAGAGTTTGACCTTCATTATGGAAAAATAGGATCAATTCCTAATTCTACTGCAGGAATGATGAGATTGTGTGTTTCTCAACTTAGAGCTATTTTGAGAAAGCATCAAATTTTAGACCTGGGTACAAAAGAAGAACTGATTATAAGGGTGTGGCTACTAAAGGCTGGCTATCTGGAGGGTGCCTTTTCCAGAGAACATCTCTGCATATTACACATGATAGAGGTGGTGATGACAATCAGGTCAACACAAGAGGAGCTCAGTAGTACAGTGTAAATCTTTTCGTCGCACGAGAGAATACGCTAATGGGCAGGAAAATACCATCACAACCAGGACATCATGCCTCAAAGTCATTATTTCACCTTTTCATGTTGAAAACCAACAGCGGAGTGTAGACAAGACCCTTGAGGCTTTAAAACTTTTTGTTGGTAATGTGGAAGAGAAGTTGCAACAAAAGACTGATGACCGTGAAAAGAAGGCTGTCAAACTGAGCAACAAAAAGCTTTGAGCAACTCAGGAGTCATCCAAATGCAAAAAGGTTATGAAGACGCAACCTGTGAAAAATGTGATTCAACGCCCTGGAACAAAAAAAACTGTTGGCCAAACTAAGAGAATCAGGAGAAGCATAAAGTACACAGAACTTTGCAGTTGGGCAATCAGTGGAGGATTTTTGGAATGAGAAGGATCTGAAAGGGACCAACGGGCAACCTGGCTGGTAAAATGGAGAGATTCAACACTTTCATGAGGAGAATGGTGCTATTTGTACTCTCTGTTTTAAAGATAGAGCAGTTTACAGCCTGCATGCAACTGGGGCTGTTGTGGATGGGATCATTCATTCAATTCAGGCAGTAGTGAGGAGACAGTAATTGAAAACTTTTAACAGCTACTCCATTTACTATTTACGGTTATACTACGTTTGCTAGAACTATGAAACAACACTATCTTTTAATATTGAATTGTGTAACCCCACTGCAAAACCCTTAGTGTCTCCTGATGTTTTTATTTCCACATCAAAGTTTCATCAACAGTACTCATAGAGTAACATATGAAAATTTAGTGGTTTCTTAATATTTATACAGTATTAGTATTATTCACATTCGTTGAAGTACTTTCATTCCCATTTCTTGCTCAGCCTATGAAGGCCCGGCTACCTGGCTAATAAAAATAACTTCTGCTACTGTGTTGATGTTAGCCAGGCTATTACAAAGTCACGAAACCTTGCATGTCAGCATGACTGTGTTAGTGAAGTTTGTGGTCATAAATAAAAATCAAACTGACAAAAGGTGTAGACAATAAACAGCCAAAAAGGAACCTTGTAATTTCTGTTTTATTTGCTATCCCTTGCAAAGTTTTTTTAAGTGAGTTCTCATCAGAATAAGCACAAAAACGTACATACTGTAGAACAAATTATTGACGTTTTAAACTTTGCAACCCAAATGTTTAAGCTTATACGCTAAACATAAAAATAACACAGACATAATTTGCAAACTTGATGGTGAAGAAGCTAAAGAATAATAAGCTTAACAAAGCGTTATATTTTTAATGAAGTTAAGCTTAATGTTTACACTGTTGTAATAAAATTCTACTGTGCTTTCGTAATTGAGTTCACTTTCAAAAACCACTTTGAATTTCTGTGGGTGGTAAGAACTCCCTCTTTACAATATTCTGGAAATTCCTCTGGGGAGTGGGGTCATCAAAGACCCCCTGGAATGGAGAATCCTTGGGGGGGGGGGGGTAGGGTGCAAGTGAAAGAGTCTTCTGTGGGCTGTATGGATGTCATATCTTTTTTTCTGGAGCAAATAGATTTACTGTTTTTGGTCAAAAAAGTATAAGTAGAACTATTACTTCAAAGGAATTGACTTTGAAGCAGATCTTGCGACAATCCATGGCCCATAACTTAATACTCTCGATTTTTGACCAGTGAAAGCTTTGGACCCTGAAACTTAAGGGAAATGGAGAACAAACAGTAAAATATGATAAAAATATGACAGAGAGAGGTTGAGAAATGGATGGATATTCTTTGAGAGTAAAGGAAGAATAAATAATTTTTTCATGATACATGTACAACCGCAGCAACCTTAGTGCTGGGAGGTAGAGTACCCCAGTTAATCTTACGGCACCATCTTCTCATGTTAACAGACTCTTGGTCTCCAAAGAGATCCAAAACGACAATGTATCTTTCGCTATTCATTAGGGTTTCTACAAAAAGTCATAATTTTGCTTTACAGCCATCTTTTGTCTTCTTCCTTTGGTTTTCTGTATCTTTTTTTTTTTCAAGAGAAATTTACTGGTACATGAAGTAACTTTAACCTTGCTTATGTTTCACATTGAAACAAATAAATGTTTGAAACACCCAGTGAGTGAGCTGTGTCACCTTTGTAATGTGTTACAGATACAGCTGTACATGTAGATTGCATCTTAAAATGTAATCCATCAGTAGAATTTATGTTTAGCTAATATGAATGATTCATTGGATCTAACTTAACATAGTCTATTTACTGTACTTCTTTTTGTTTGTAATTATACTTTCTGTAATTACCTTTGAAAAGCCTTGTTTAAGGAAAGATAATAAAGGATATATGTAGGATGTATGTAAGAATGTTTCATTTACCATCTAATGGTTTATTAAAAGGGCTATGTCACAACCTGCGCATGTGCAGGATTTTCCTGCTCTGTTGATTTTCTCAACTGTCCGCCATATTGGATTTTGGAAATCAGGCTGATTTTTGGCAGCAAACCTCTGTTTATAGTACAGTTCTTTCCGAGTTTTTGTTCGTATATTTGAGTATTTTCGTCTTCCAGTTTCATGGTAGCTATAGACACGAAATCATGATCTCGGACGAGGCTACAGAGTCTGTGGTGGTAAGTTTCCTTTGATGTTGATAACGTTTCTTTTAAGAATATTTCGTGCTTTTCATCCACATACTGTCTAGCAAAATAATTAATTGCTATCTCCACGGCTTATTTTTCAGGAAAATCGCATCTCATGCAAATGCAAAAGCACTTGTTCAACAAAACGAACGGCGAATGCGAAGCGAGGATGTCCTTGCAAGGGTGCTGGAAGAACATGTGGCAGTGAATGTTCATATGGATCCACGGCGAAGCATTGCCGAAACAAGGTGAGTAACATTACTTGTTTCCAGTCGTGGAAGTTGAACTACACTTACAATTAAACAAATTACACCAGGCAAATTCTTAGTGGGGGTGGTCAGCGGCACTTTATGAAAATAATGTTTTTGCAGTCCATCCACTTTCTCGCGATACCCTTGTTCTGCCAACCAATATGTATGGTATGTGGCCACAAATTCAGATATTCAGGTACTGTACTAAATCAAAATCAATGCAACACTTCAATTCACCTCGCCCACTGGTAATCTATTAACTAAGCGAGTCTGATCTCAGCTTACAAGTACAACTTAGTTGGGGACTAGCCTTCCATCAACTTTAATAAGGCTAGAAGTGACTACATAATTCAGGTGGTTTTATATTTTTACACGTTTCCATACATGTAACTTTGCTTGTCATCTAAAAGCTTTAACTTGTCCACAAGTGCCACATGGCACTCTTCAGTACCATGCCTCAAATTTGAGTGACACTCTTTAGTGTACTCAATTCTAACCAATCAAATATATTTCTCTACTGTGTTAAGACCAATAGGATCACAGTAAAGGCTTGGTTTGAACTAACTATCAGGGGTGTTGTTCATACAATTTTTTTCAGAATTCAATGGTTGAAATTTCCACATCTTGACGTCCTAAAGGCGAAGTTACTGGTATTTAAGTTGGATAGTGAGGAGGAAGAGTTTCTAGGCTTTGACGTAGAATGCAGATTGCAAAGAGGTGTTGTAGAGTCGGAATCTGACATGTAACAGTTTCAACTGTAAATATGGAAGACTTGTCAAAATTTAGCGTAACAAGCTAAGAAACTAACAAAGAAGTGGATGTAGAGTGGAACTCAATTCCTAAACCAGTTATGGTGAATCCATTTGTGGCAAACACTGTTCCTGTAAGGGACATTAGTTTGATGTTCAAGGAAGAAAATTTTAACCAAATTGCTGAGGAAACAAAATTAATCACTCTGCCCTCCAGGCGATGGAACCTAAACCAAATTGTGTGTGGTATGAAACTGATGCTAAAGAAATCCAAGCGTACTTTGACAAGAACATTCTCCTTGGCATCAAACAACTGCAAGAAGTTTATTCGTACTGGTCTTAAAATCAACTTCTAGGAGTTCCAGAAGTGCCGAAGTTTTTTCCAATGAACCGGTATGCCAAAATATCGCAGTACTTACATTTGAATGATAAAAGAAAAGAATTGCCACGTGGTCATGCTGACCACAACAAATTATTCAAAGTGTGCACCCTCTTCTTGATTTGGTTGTAGGTACACTTGGAATTGACTGAGCTGTTATCTGGATGATGAATCCATCTCACACAATAATGAAAACCGTAACAGCCTGCGAGCAAACTCTCCATTTAAAGGATATCAAGAGATGTCACATAGGAGACACAGGAGCAAGGTGAAAGTGAGAGCTCACTCTAACGTTTGCTTACCACTGGAAATGGAGAGTATGACATCTCTTGGTAGTCAAGCGCATCCACTATTCAGTAAGCCAGATTCTGAAGAAAATTCTAGCTATACACATACTTAGCACCATGCACAATAGCTCCATATCTTCTTTTTCACCCATTTCAACCAACCCTTAACAATTAACAACATTTTGCACTCACATGTGCCTGACACAAAAAATCCCCACACATGTGAGATAAAATAATGCTCAAGTGTACGCTCCAATGGCGTCTTGTTTTGTATTGAACTGTGTCAGCATTGTTGATATTTTTGCAATTTTCGTAACAACATTATCATTTATTTTTTCTAAGCTTGCCAGCGGGCGGAATCCTCCAAATCCTGCAATCTGATTGGTTGGAAGAGCGGGCAGTTTTTTACCATCTTGCCGGCTAACCCGGGCAGAATTGTTGGCAGCTTTATTCACAAGTTTGTTTGTTGTTTGTGAATGAGCAAAAGCGGTGATTTTTAACAATTTTCCTTTTAAAACTTGCGCTATTATTGGCATTAGCTGGGGGAAAGTGAATTTTGTTATTCAGACAAAACATCTGAAGGGAGAATCAGGCAAGTCAGCCAGGAAAACCGCTAAAGTACAACAGGCGGCTCGTGAAGTCGCTTCACTAGCTTTATAACAATGCTGTAAGTACTGCAGTCTTGCTCTTATGCACCGTTTATTCGACATTTTTCCTCTATTTGTAGGGTTCTTTTCCATTTTTGCTGTCTGAATCTAGATTCTGCCGTTTTTCATTGAATTTTGCCTCGCTAGTTTTATACTTTTCAGAAAAGGTTGTTGTCAATGATTGCATGTAGCTTTCAATCTTGAATAAACAACATGAACAACTTTTCCAGCAGTCAGTTATCGCCATTTTTATTTCTTTGCTTATATAATAGCCCATTTCCGAGTTCCTGCATGATTGGAGACTGGTGCCGAAGTAACGCACGAGAGCGAGGCTTCGTGCGAAGAAATCCAACATGGACGCCACTCTTGACAGCAATGTTGCTTGTGCTGACGAAGATTTTTCGAAATTGAAAGTCCATGATTTAAAAAGATATTTAAAAGAGCGTGGTATCCAGTTAAGCGATGGGGGCAAAGGCAAGAGGAAGGCAGAGCTTGTCGATTTGTGCGAAAAAGCGGCAGCGATGAAACAAGCCAAGTTAGACGATACCGCCGAAGACCGCAACAAGCTGATGGAGGACAAACTGCGGACAAACGATGGTAAATTGCCAGATCCTAAAACCTTAACCGCTTGGACCAACAACTTTTCTAACATCCCGGAGTTTACCTTCGGAGACCTTTACAACTACCTAGTGGGGAAGGAAGATTACTCTGAGGAGAATCTCCGTTCGTTTAAAAGTTTGCTGGGCTTTAAATTATTTCGTGATGGCCATGTTATCGATTTAAAGTATTGTCCGCTAGAGAAGAACAACTTTTGTTTCTTCAAGTTTAAAGTTAAGCCCACTGAAAGAGCCAAAAGCGGAAGATGGACAGGCTACTTACAATGGTTTCACAATTCTAAAATCCAGCGGAGAGGTACACGCAGCATTTTGCCCGTGTAAAGGAGGGGAGTGATGGTTGCTGCAGGCACGTTGCCGCTGTGTTGTTTGACCTCCAGGCCACAGTTAGCAATAATTTGATGTCAACGTGCACTTCTGGGAAATGTGAGTGGAAGAAAAGAAGTGGGAATAGTCAGTATGCTACCCTTTTAAAGAATTTAAAGATTGTTAAAGCTGAGTTTGGTAAAGCTGAAAAGGATCCTGTAAAACCACATAATTTTCAACCAGGACTCTCATCTTTTGATTCCAGCTCAATGAGAGAAAAGCTGAGGAGGGGTCTACAACAGTTATACCCTCAGTCAGTGGCCATTCACTTTCTCCCGAAGCCAGAAGATCCAGACACACCAGAACCATTAGTGAAAGAACACATTACCAATGATGCAAATGTTGAAAGGTTTGAAACTGTGGAGAATGTTACTGTTTACACTATGAAAGAATATGCAAACATTTTTTTTAAATGTCAGAACAACATTGACAACAACATGGATATATCTGAAGACATTGTTGAGTCGTTTATGAAGTTTTTGTCTGTCAGTGAAAGTCAGTGTGATGTGATTTGCTCGAAAACAGTGCATCAGGGAAGTAGTCAGTTGTGGTTTGACCAGCGATCAGGCCGCATAACAGCTTCAAACTTTTACCGGTGTGCCACATGAGAGACACAACAGACAAATCAAACATTGTCAAACTACTTATGAACTACTGCCCAATGGAGCATATACCTGAGCAGCTAGAGTGGGGCCATGAAAAGGAAATTGCTGCTTCAGAACTTTATTTAAAGAAGATTTCACTGAAACACAAGGAACTACACCTTCTTGAATCTGGCCTTGTTATTAATCAGAAGTGGCCTTTTCTTGGTGCAAGCCCCGATCGTATTCGTCACTGTGAATGTCATGGTAAGACATTAGTTGAGTGCAAGAGTTTGTTTACCAAACGGAATCTGCTACCTGGAGTTGCAGCTTCTGACAAGTTGCTCAAAACAACGAAGGGCTTCAAGCTGAAGGAAGAAACTTCCTGGTATTACCAAATCCAGGGCCAAATGGCAATCTCTGGGATTCATGCCACTGATCTTGTAATTTATACAAACAAGGGGATTTTGATTGTTCATGTGGATTTTGACAAGGAGTTTTTCTCTCATGAATGTTGGAAAAGTTACAACTGTTTTTTCTAAGTTTATGGTGCCAGAGCTTCTCACTGGAAAAATATTAGGTGAAGTAAGGTCATAGCTTATTCCATAAGGTTTTATGTGTAGTTTTCCACAGAATGAAGTGATGTGAACTCTGTGAATACAAATGAACTGAACTTGTGACCATCACAGTGAATCGCAATTTAAGCAATTGTCAAAATAGCCCCAAAAAAGTTTTTCGGGGCTTCAACGGGATTCGAACCTGTGGCCTCTGTGTTCATGCTGCAGTGCTCTGTACCAGCTGAGCTATGAAGACCCATACACTGGAGGCCGGCCACTTGAAATTTGAGTTCATCAAGCCGGTAAAGGAATGAAACACAGAATGAAATGAATGTGTAGTATGATGTTGATGATGTATTGTGTGTAGTTTTGTTGTAAATTACTTCACATATATGTTTTCATTTAAACTCAGGGCTTCCCATGTGGTGCAGCATACTTCTTTTGATAAATAACTTGAAAGCATGGTTTTATTGTAGTGATTGTGTGGTTTATGCAAAATCTGCAGTTTGATGTGGAACTACATAAATATTATTTAACTGGGTTGATGTGATGTCTTTATGTGTACATGCAAATTGTGTTATTATATTTGTATCCTTTTGCCTATAGTTGGAATAGAAATTGAATCCAGATTACAGCCAGATTTTCCAGAAATGTTTTCACTGCTTGAGTGCTAAAACATTTTACTTGAATCCTTTATTACACATACTCCTGCTATTTGTTGTTGTGAAGCAGTGCTAAATAAGAAAATATTCAACAATCCTTGTTGTAGGAATCTGGGATATGTTATCTGGCCAGTGGCTTAAGTAAATTACAAAGAGCTCCACAGACTATCAACATCTGGTCAGCAAGTGCAGCCAGGGTCAAAGGCAAATTCCCTTGAAATATCTTGAAGTCTTTCAATCTTTCGATGGCCCTTTCAACATGAATTCGCACTCTAGCAATTTGACGAGTGTTTTTTGTGGCTGCCCGTGATAGCTGTTTACCTGAAAAATAATGTGTTTTATTTATAAAAATATACCATAAAACTCCGATAATAAGCCCCCCCCCCAAAAAAAAAAACCCAAAAAATTAATAATAATAATAATAATAATAAGCCATCCCAAAAATAAGCCCCCCAAATATCAGACACAAATCTCCTCCTGATAATAAGCCATCCCGAATATAAGCCCATAGACTGTTATGGTTAGCTTTTGTAGGCTGTCATCTTAGTGGTTTAAGCTGTTTTTATAGTCAAGCCCAGCCCATTTTGAATTGCAAAATTCCTTCCAATAATAAGCCCCTGCGAAAAAACCTTTTAGCAAATACAAGTCCAGGGCTTATTATCATAAGTTTATGGTATATGTGTTTTTTTAAGAATATTACATAGTTTGGTACCTACATTTATAAGGGCTTTTAAAGTCTAATGTTATTACAAAGGTAAGCTAAAGTGATATTTTGACAGCTTTTTCTTAGTATAAAATTGAGAATTATCAGTTGAACTCTGGGAAACCTTATTAGTGAAAATGTTAAATATACCAATTAAATCTTACCTTTTTTAGAAAAGGGAGGAATGTTAAGATAAACTTTCTTCTTTGTAAGGATGTCTCTAATGTTAAAACCCCTGTCAGCCATCACTGAATCGCCCTCCTCTAGCATGTCTACCAGTCCACTTTCCTGGGTGATTTTCCTGTCACTGGTACTTCCAGTCCAAAATTTGGAGAGAAAGCTAAAATAGCCAGAGGGGTAATTCCAACAAGAGCCTTTATGGTATTGTGCCCCTTATATTCACTCCAAGTTGCTCTTTGTGCATAAGGAGAAGTGGGTTTTTCTATAAACATTTCTGTGCAATCAATTATTATTAGTGTATTGGGGTACTTGTTGAATGAGCGAGGGAGGTTTCGTTTAATTTCGTCTTTACTTGGCCAGAGTACTAGTACCTCTTGAAATATGGATGCAAGAAAGCAAACCCATGTTGTGAATACCCTGCTTAACTGTGACTGTGAAACAGAAAATGTGTCAGCCAGTTGTCTTCCCATCAATCCAAGTCTAAGCCTCACAAGAGTTAAAACCAATTCTTCAGTCAGTGTTAGACTTCTTTTAGGTCCAGGTTTGCTGTTGGATGTTGTCTGGTATTTCATTTGTTTATTCTTGTTTTTGTCCCAGTATTTGAGCTTTTCAGCTTCTGGCTTTATCAATTCTGAAATCAAATTGAAACATCCCAGTGTGGGAATTCCAGTGTAAAACTTCACTGAATCATCATTTTCAAGGACATCCTCCATGAACAAGTCACGTTTTAGTTTAGCTTTATCGTTAAGTCTATTTTTGAGGTTTTTAACTTCATTTTCCAGTTGTTCTAAATCGAACAAAGTCATGTCAGTTTGACAACCCACTGACCTTACCATCTCAGGTTCGGTATCTTGTAACAACACTGTCGAAGATCGATCATCTTCTGCTGAAAGGCAGTACGAATGGTCATGCTGAACATCGCAGAAATCAGCATTAGACGATCGAACATCCACCAGATCTGTAGTAATTTCTCCATCTGCATCAGCAAGCGAAACCTGGCTTGGCAAGAGAGTGTTTGTTTTGCAGTCGCTAAACTCCAGCCGTCTTCTCTTCCGTGCTGTTTCAGTAACGAACACTTCTCGGTGTGCATTCATCGTTTGGTCGAAATATAGTTGGCAGAGCAGTGTTGTATGTTTTTCTCCTACCGTTCAAAGTTTTTCTATAGGCTTTGGGGTCAAAATGAGCGCTGCAAATCCATAAATTGTTGCTCTTTCCTGCCTTTGCCTTCGCTGACTCCACTGAAAACTTTTTGTCCGCTCGGCGGCAGAATTTTATCCAACTTCCAAGCCTCTTGTCCGAAGGAAAAATAAAATATGACAGATCATTTCGATTGTGATTCCCATTATTGCAGCAGGCGACTGAGCAGTAGACCATCTCATAAATATTAAAACATTCAGAGCAGTGAAAACCCCTCAATCGCTTTTTATTTTTCGCGCCGCCAAGAGGGACTTCGCACGAAGCCTCGCTCCCGTGCGTTATTTCGGCACCAGTCTCCAATCATACAGGAACTCGGAAATGGGCTATTGTTTAGTTACCCACATTGCCTTCTTTTATTCGAATTCACTTCAAAACCCTAAGATTGGTATGTGCAATTAGCTTTTTTTATAAAGCCTTTGTGCAGTTTTTATCCCGCTTGATTGAATTAATCTTAAAGTAAATATTCAGCCAAAGAAAATCTTTGATGTATTTTCTTTCCTGTGGCTTTTAAGTCAGGGCAGGAAACTTGGGCCGTCCGAACGTCTGGGACGGGTAACTTTTCCGTTCGGACAAGGAAAAACGTGATCCCAGTTGTCCGAATGGACGACTGAGTTGTAGAGGTCCAACTTAATAAAAGTCAAGAATCTATACTTACCTGTTTTCTTTGGATATATAATAAAATATTCTTTCCGTAATTAATAACCCTAAGTGCTCTAAAAAATAAGTAGCTCTTACAGAAAGTAAAATAAAATATCATTTTGTTTGCGTTGTGTGTTTGATTTCGTCGTGCAAGGTGCCGCCATTAAATTCCATGTGAGTCCTGCTGTACAACATAATAGCAGGCTCACGATATCGACCCAAAGCCAGCCATCAGCAACTGGTTTCTCAGCAGTAAAAGGAAAAGGCACTTTGTTTCGGCATCTTGCAGTGGACATTCAAGCATTGCAAAGGGGAAAAATGACAGTGCTAGTGGAGCAACAGAAATTGTAGTAGAAGGAGAGGAAGAGGAAGAAGAAATTCTACCGCCACTTCCCGAACTGCCTGAATAAACACAATGACTAAAACAAATGTATCAAAAGATATGTTTTTTCAATTTGTGGAGTTCTGTTAGTTTTAATTCTACGAGCTAAAATGAAATATGAAGTTTATAATATTACCCTTTAGTATTGTTGTGGTTGTCTATTTTTGGACAAGTAGTTTTGTGGTTCGGACAAGCAAAATACACATTGTACTTGTCCCAAGGGACAAGTGAATTGAAAAGAAAGTTTCTTGCCCTGTAAGTTCATCAATCTTTTATCCTTTTTTGACACTCAGATTATGAATTGTCTACCAAGACACAAAAACCTTTCTTTATTCTAAAGAGAGCTTAATTGTGATAATATAAATTACAAGTTAAAAATCATGTTGTAATGTTTTGTTTTGGTTTGCAATCGATCGTGCGCTTTGAATAACATCAACACGAACGCGCCCTTCTTCAACACACATAGGTTGGAGGCTGAAGTAAAATTTTCCTGAAACTTCCAAATCTCAGTAGGAAAAAAATATAAATGTTATTCACCGGCCTAGGTCGGTCTGTATTGGGAGAAACTGTGCCCTCGGTCTGAGCACGGCCTTGGGCAGTACTCAAGACCTCGGGCACAGTTTCTGCCAATACGGACCTCCCAGCCGGTGAATAACATATATATACCGTTTTTGCATTTAGTATTTACCTGATTATTGCATTTCATAGCTTCAGATTGCTTGTTATTAAATCCTGAAAATCCAAGCAGTCCAATGGGGTGATGATGTTTGCCTCAGCGATCCAGTATATACATCTACATGTACACTCTGGCCGGGTTCCTCGAATGATGGTTAAGTTTAACCTAGAAATAAGCGAAAGTTTAAGCAAGGTTTTCTAGTCTAAGAACAGTCATGCAACTCGAGCTTACAAAATCCATAGCATGCATGTCAATAATTGTGCCTTTACTTTGAAAAAAAGAAATGGTAACACAAAATGTTGCTCTAGGCAATGGGTAGCAGGCAATGCATAAGAAATAAAAAAGAAAAAGAGGAACAAAATTTTAATCCTGGATTTGCGCTGATCGGCCTTTCAGGAACCGGGCCCCGAAATTTTAAGTTTTATTTCAATGAACAATGAGCAAGTTAAGAGCTAACCTGGAGGATCAAGTTTCGCTGCTAGTCGTCCCAAAACCATTCTAGACTCTTCAAAACTTAAAATCCAACTGAAAACCCGTTTATCCTATTCCGTCTTCGTGGTCACTCAGCTCTGAAGGTCTTTCTTTTTTTCTTAAAACCTGTCAACCAAATTCCATGATGTAGCAAATCTTGCAGCATCGTCGCTGGTATTTGTCGGCGCGGGGCGCGGAATCTCACCTGAAAATTAGGAGGATTATTTAGCAAGCGTTCGGTGAAAACGCTTTCAGGTGAAAGCCTGAAACAAAAACCCTGAACCTACCTTAGTCTGTTGCAAAAGAAAAGCTAGACATGAGAGCCGACAAAACAGCTGCAGAAATGGACAAACAGCTGAACCAGTGCGATGCAAGCGAGCCCTTGAAGGCGAACCTCGTGCTGCGACTGCTCATGCGTGCACGTGGGGCTTGCGTGTCGCGTTCCATTCCACGTGACCAAGAAACGACGCGCTCTCGAGGAGGGGGTAAAAAGAAACATAGTTGCCTTGGATAAATTTGTTGCGCTGTTTCCCTACACCTACATTGGTCAAGAGCCCGTTGAAGAAATGTTTTTGGCCGCTCTGACCCGATTTTAAACCGAAAAATCACATGTGGGGTCGCGAAGGTTGATTCAAACGCGCCCGGGAAACGCGCAAGGGTTAGCACTCTCGGGGAGGGGGTTCGGAGAAGTGCTCCCTAATCTGCCTAATTAGAAATTTGGGTAAGACAAGTCGAGAGAAGAAAGACAATCACTTTACTTTACTTCAGTAAGTCTAAGGAACACATCGTACCCTTCTTTCTCAAATCGAATTGCTTTCCCCTACCTAGCCTATTTTTCAGAGATTGTAGCTATTTATTGTATGATATCAACAAACACCGGTTAGTACGCTCAATCAGTTTGTTAAAACAAGTCAGATTCATAACTACAGAACCAGATCTGTCTCTAGCGACTCTTTTTATGTTAAATGACTGTAGCTGAATAAATGCATGCATGCATGCAAGTTTCTTTGTCCGTGAATATGATTATTTCCTGCCATGTCAGGTATGACTCTGGGCCCAGCTCTATAGTATAGTGTGGTTTGCAGGATTTTGAATTTCCACGGATAGTGCGATCTTCAGATTTGAGTTGTACACTGTAGCTTAAAAACTAAAGCTACACCAAGTTTGGAGAAATATGCCGTGGGTCAGTCAAGATAATTCTCTTAGCGCTCACAATAGTTTTGGGTTCAAACGATTCATTTCAAGAGTTACAAGAGTTTATTTCAGGCGGGAAACAAAAAGGAATGAAAATTCACCGCAAACTAGTGACTTTTGAAAACCTTTCATCACTTCAATCGTTCGTCAGCAGATAATAAACATCGAACACGGTCTCATGACCTTTGGCGTGTGACCGGAAATCGGTCACACGCTTAAGTCACGTTAGGATACTGTCACGAATTCACGTTTGCTTTCGACAAGAAATAAACTCATAGAAATAGAAATAGAAACAGGCTTGCTTTCTTTGATATGTTTAATTTCTTTTATAGCCTGCAGAACTTGTTCCCCGTGCATAGCACGTGTCTTCGCAGTGCTGGCGTGAAAAGCGCAGAAAAAAATTGGCTCCTGTATAGACACCTACTAGGTATTGACAGGCTGTCAAACAAGTGTACTTTTGTTTTGGAAGTGCAACATCATTTTCCTATAAATTTCAAACGTGTTCAATCTGTTTGGAGCCCGTTGATGGAGAAAAACTGTCCCGGAAAGAGGGCCACCCTCCCATCCGAGCCAACTTTAGCGACTGTTTATGAAGAAAAATTGACCACTTTTCCCGAGTCAACAGTGTTCGCGCATGTTGTCTTTGTCTAGCCTTGACCGAGTTGACCCAGCTAGCTGGGCGAGCTAAAGTGGAGAAATGTTAGCCCGGCTTGAAGGGTGAGCCCACCATACCGGCTCACTGGCGGATCGCCTTGAACCCCGCCCACTACTGTGGAAAGGCGTTTATCAGCTCATACTGCCAGGAAATTTCGTAGCTGTTGTCAGCAATTTTAATACGGTTATCACATTTCTTTTTGACAAGAAATACTCTCAACGCAGTAGAAACAGTCTCCCTATTTTACATTTCTGTTTTAGACACCTTCTAGGCTGTGTGAAACAGCTTTTTTTGCTTTCGAACTACTACACGGGAGGGGTACTTCAGATTCCAAGTGACGGGGATGATCCGTGGAAGCTAAAATCAACACCAAAAAAGAACGAATATTTTGAATACCTAAATAAAGTCTCAGCTAAAAAAAGGTTGGTTCCCAAAAAAATCTCAAAACGGAAAATTTCAAATCAAGGAAAAAAAAGGAATTCGATCATCCCCGTGACTTGGAAAAACTGGCCAGAGTACCACCCCCGACCCATCCCAGGTCAAAATATTAAGTTCCCCCAATGTCCCGACTGACAATCTTGATAGTCAGGGGATTATACTTCCTTCCTATGTAAAGAACTTGAAGAATAATGCCTATTCTCTGCGGCCGACGGACTCAACTCTATAGTTTACTTTGGTTTTGCTTGTTTCGCGATTCGCTCACGACCAAATAGCTCACGTTCGATGTTAAAATGCTAACATGACTCCGTAACCTCGTCCCCAGGGCGCCTTTCCCTGGCTCCAAAGCCAGGGAAAAGCACCCTGGGGACGAGGTTGATGACTCCGAGGCTGTGGGGTCAAAATTGCAAATTTTTTGCACCTCCATTGTCTCGCAATTCCCATGGGAGAATTGAGCACAAAGAAAACAAAACCAAATGTCGAAAAATGACCAGAAAGCCTCGAGGTCATGTTAGAATTTTGATATATTGAACGTGGGCTATTATGAAACCTGTTATAACAATCGAAGGACGCGGAAACAAGTGATTGCGAAATGGCTTCAAACATCCTACCTGATTGGAATAATACTTATCTCAGAAACCCTGTGGGAAGGGGAATTTCAAGTGACAGAGATTATCGAATGAGGGCAAAAATCAAACCCACCAAAAATCCTTAGGGCTTCAAACAAAACCCCAAAAATCCCTGGACCAAAATTTAACCCCCCAAAAATCCAATGACGACTTTCCGAGCCACAAAAATTTCCAGAAAGCATCAAATGATACCGTGAAATTCCGAAAAAAAGCCAACCTCGTTCCCAGGGCTTTTCCCTCAAAAAATGGGGACGAGGTTGAAAAAAAGCCCCTCCATGTATAAGCCCCCCAATCCGGTAACGCAAAAAACCCTCCGTTAAATCGCCCCTCCAGACGTAAGCCCCCCGGGGGCTTGTACTTGGAAAATTGCCCTCAAATTCAAAGTAAAACAAAGCAAAAACGGTAAATTTCCTTCCAACTATAAGGCTAACCCAATCGATTTTGAAACGCAAATTTCCCTCCGTAGATAAGCCCCTCCAAAATTAAGCCCCTCAAAAAGGGTCTTTGAAAAACATAAGCCTCAGGGCTTATGTTCGGAATTTTATGGTGTAACTATCACGAATCTTCAGATTGTTTTGAATACCCAAAAAATCCCTACTTCAATCAAGCTACCCAAACTGGAAAATACCTGCCAAAATTTTCCTACTCGAAAAAAATCGAAAATTTCAAACCCCAAAAAATCCTTCGATCATCCCTGTCACTCGAAATCTGGAGTACCCACCCTCCTGGGCACAGAAACCTAATCATGTCTTCTAGCAGACCAAGAGTCATAATGGCTCTTGAGCAGACCCACTCCTCATGGTCCGTGTTGACATAGCCCGTTTCAGGCGTTCGGATAATGCAGTGCGGCACGAAGAAAGAGAGCGGGAAAAACACCTATGGGTGGGCGAAACCTTGTTCGTGTTCGTATTGTTGTAGCCGCCATCATGAAGCTTTCACGAGCAAAAACACTTGCGCGCCCGAAGAAAACGCCTGCACTGCAGGCTAACCACACCCCCTCGCTGTTTTTTTTTTCCTGCTCGCAACTCTTTCCCCACGAAAAATAAAATACACTTGTTTCACGGCCTGTTAATAGGATTTTCAGAGCTAAAACCTTCCAGTAATTTAGTACAATAGCCAAGCTACCATTTTATATTGATTTTATGATCAAGCGGCATATACCAGATGCCTTTTATAACAGTCAAAGTTAGCCTTCATTTTCTAGCATGATTTCCAACGTCACAAATACGACCTCTTTAGACTTGTCGATTATAAAATTTAAAGCATTCTTTTTAAAATTTTCTCTTAGGATTTTAAAGAGTGAAAACTAAATAATAATTCGCTGAAGTTTCAATATCAGTGAATGTTTCTTACGCGTTCACTCTTCTCTCGAAGTTGCCGTTGCATGCTGCTGTGTTTTGTGCGAAAAATAGGCATAAAATCGATTTTTCAAACTTTTTCTAATTTCTCCCTTAAAATGAATCGTTTAAACCCAAAACTATTTTTCCTTAAATTAGGCCACTAAACGGGATGTTTTGGCAAAAGAATAAAAAATTCGATTTCTTGACGAGTGTCTTGCGATTCTCGATTTTCTCAGAAAATGGCTCTTAAAGATAAGTAAATAAAAAACGAAATACATCATGAAAAGGAAACACGAGGTCAACCCTATAACGTTTCCTAAAAAAGGAATAAAAAATACGTTAAATTATTACCTATCACTATTTACATATTCAAAGAAGACTTTCACCTCGCTTTAAACAGTTTAAAAGATTCTGCTTCAACCACATACTGCGGTAAATTATTCCATTCGTTCACTATGCGAATAAAGAATGAATATTTGTAGGGGTTAACCCTTGCATTTTCAAGGCCTAATTAGGCCAGTTCAAAATTTTAATACGTTCCTCGTACTCCATTTTCCCATGCTTTTGTTCAAGCGCAAGGCGAGATGCCCTCCTCTGGACCTTTTCAAGTGCTAGTACGTCTTTTACTAGATATGGGCACCACACTGGGGCTGCATATCCAAGGATAGGTCGCACTAAAGTTATGTACAAAATAGAACATGTTTCTTGATTTGTAGGTCCGATCGTTCTGTAAACAATGCCTAAGATTCTACTAGCCTTGTCTACAGCAGCATCAACTTGAGCTCCCCACGTCAGGTCATAGAAAAATTCAAAACTCCCAGGTACTAGTTCAGATTGTGGTCAACTGCGCTCTACGATCTGAAGGCCGGGAACATGCTATCTTTGGCCTTCTCAAGGATTTTTTATGTCTCGACAACTGTTGACTTTACAGAACCAATTCTTTTCTTTTTTCTTTTATTAGCCACAATGAAGTAAAACGATCAACAACAGCAACTGAATCTTAAATTGTGCCTAAAAGGTTCAATCATCGTTTTGCAGTCATAGAGCATAAACCAGAAAAGAGCATTTGAAAAAAATGCTTCAAAGAAGACACAAAAAGACTACTCTTTTAAATTAGCAATTCTTTTGACTTCGTTTTTAATGTTGGTCAGAGATCAATTTTTCTCATCTCTGTTCGTTTTTTTGATTTGATAGGCGTTTTACTTTAATAGCGAAATAAATCTCTAACAGGAGACCACCCTCTTTTTAGCGGCCAGCAACAAAAGTCCGGGAATAAAATCGATACACTAATTTCCACAGGCATTTGAAGTTTGGTTTGCAATCTTGTGGGAGCCTTTCAGGTTATAATGCTGCAGAGGAATTTTCTTAACTAAGAGCTCCAAAATAGGCCTGTGCAGATAGATTTTCTTGCCGGGAAAGAACCTTTTTAAGTGTACTTTCCCAATGGGTGAGGGTTCTTTCAAGTCATCCTCTAAACTCCCCCTAACCAATTAAGAAGTGGCCTCAGGCAAGCAAAGTCTGCGAGGTGCTTGCCCATTTAAGTCCTACTTACAAAAACTGGTGGGCCTGTCCCAGCCCTGGATAAGGGTAACGCAACCAATTACATAGGCTCGATTTCCGCTGCTCTCCGACGGTCCTTCTCCCCTGTTCGTGGGAGGAGCGCGGGGTCATTTCCCGAAGAACAGCTGGTAATCGAGCCTACTAATTACAGAACGAGAAAATACTTATTGACAACATTGCAACAAAAAAATAAACATTGCTAGATAAGACAGCCAATTTAATAGCATAAAGATAAAAGAATATTTATAACTCTATAAATAACTTATATATAACTTCGCCAATAACTTAATAACTGATATCATCAAATGATTTTTTTGGCATATTCTCTCTCTCCTTAATAAAAAACAATGGTTTTGAACCACTCTGCTATTCCAAAACGAGAAATTCTTCCAGCTTGGCGTGCTTTGCTTGGTAAGACGTGCTTTAAAAATTTCTCGTTTTGGGTCGGTCCGTTAAAAGTCTCGGCACTCTTACTGTTGCCGTGTTTCATTCAACAACGAGGTTTTAACGGTTTGGAAAGTAATGCAAAAGGACTACGCGTTAGGGAAACAAAAATGAAATTGCTTCGCAAAAAAAGGTTCCTGCACTTTTCAAGTAACAGGACCCAGCACGAGTAAAATACCCAATAGCATTCATGAACCAAATAACACAAAAAAAGATCATCAACTTAAGTCTAATTTGACAAAACAGGGCCTATTTTTATCTCCGAATTCGCGCAAGAACAAACACATTTACAAGACCCTAATACAGCCCAGGATCCAATGTCGTCGCAGTTCTTTGACTTTCTCCAACTTAACACACAGATCGTTTCTTATTAAGTATAAATCCATGACGTCACGGATCGTGACTTACAATAAAACTCGAGAATGCATTAACATTAGAGAGATTTAGAATCGTGTTTATAGCAAACGGCAAACGTCGGATGTAAGTTGACGATTTCTTAAACTAAGAAATGAGCAGATTAAAACCGTCCAAAGTGGTTCTTAAATAAAGGCTAAAAGGGTCCTTATTTCACGTCAGTGGTTCGAAACAGTCCTGATCTGACTAAAAAACCTGAAACTACTTATTTCTGTGTAGATATAAAGAACAGTAAACGGCAGGTACATTTTAAGGAAAAACCTGGTCACGTGGTACAAATAGACGTTCGCCCATTGACGTAAACGTGATATTAAATCGTTCTGTTGTCTAGCTAGATCTAGCTAATACTGGACCGCCTGGACTATGCTGCTATTTGCTGTTCAGAACAAAATGTAATTTGTTTCTTTACAAATGAATATTGCTATCCTACATTCAAAGGCAAGAAGAGAGCATAAACTGCGATAATTGGTTCGGCTTCTCCACCGACTTTGGGTTTTCGACCTGTCGTTGACCTGTACTCAGTTATTTTATACCCTTTAATACCCAATTCAGTTTTCGATGCGCCACCGTGAGTTTGATATGTTCGTAAATAACTAGTTTCGTCAACAAAACACATTTCATACCGAAGCAACTTCTCACTATAATCAGCCGCAGTCTTCCTCGGTCACTCACTAATGTGGTTCTTTTGCTCGTTTACACGCTGAGGAGTTTCTTCAACGAAATATATTGCAATCCTAAACAAAAGTTGTCGCTATAGTTCAACGCAGTCCTCCTCGGTCCTCACCAATGTGACTCTTGCACAGGTTGACACCCCCTTTCCATTTCTCCTAAAGAAAAGAATGTATCAACAAGACCACGCACCACTGCATTTCTTTAGATGTCATAACGACTATACCTCTGTTTCAAGATCATCCCCTCTTCCCGTCAACTGACCGTTCAGTGAGATACACTTGAGTAAAGTATCGACTTTCCTCAGCGTTTCCTCGATACTGAATTGTCACCTGAGCATCACAGAGGTTTTGTAAACCAAATAAATAACTTTCCGAGGTAAAGGTCTACCTGAATCACTCGTAAGGGGCCAAGAAGAGAAAGGTATTTGAACAGAACTCTAAATTCTTTAATAAAAAAAAATACCAGCAAAAATGCATACACCCATAGACCTTTCGCTGATATTTGACAACTGAGTTTTAGCGATCAAAAACATGGTGGTTGAATAAAAAAAGAAACGACATTCTGAACAATTCGGGGAGCGCAGTTTGGTGACACCGAGCACTTTGCTAAGCACTCGCTATAATAAGTGAACCATCACGGCGTTTGCAAAAAAGTCTCACCCCAAAATGATTGTCAAGTTTGCGCCTTTTGCTATATCATTCACGTACAAATCTTTGAAAAGCTCATCGTGATTCTTCATCCAATGTGCAAGTGAATGAACTAAATAGGTGTTTTTCACAACTCCGTCTAAAAATATCTTCTGCCATACGATATCTCACCACAGGAAAAAATAGTAAAATCTTAAGGCGGGTCTATAAGTTTAAATCATGAGAGATTTGTTTAGTTTTTTTTTGTGTTTTCCTTAACAGGTTAAGCGAAGACTTAGAGAATTTCATGGGTGGTCAAAAGGCTGCAATCCCACAGATTTTCATGTTTCTAAGAAACGATACGTAACATTATAGTCAACTCAGTCACCTGTTTTTCTTTCTTCTAACAACAACAACAACAACAGCTACAACGACGAACACCACCAGCAGAATGCCAACTCCCAATCCGACTCCTAAGCCAACACGAGCAGCCAAATCTAAGTGGACAAAAACAAAGTTTCATTAGAAGACAAATAGAAAGGTGGCTACTCTGGCATCTTGAAACAATTTTGAGTCGCCACACAGAAGTAAAGAAAGTAAGGGTGGGTTCCATTGACCTTATTTTTGAATAGGAACAACCCTCTCTAAGACAGGCACCTTCGGGACCTGCCCTGACTGTCCATCTTAGAGAGGTGTCCGGCTTATCGAGAAAGTCAAGGTAACGTGACACCAGTAATCTCAAAGCGGAACCTATTCGCAGTGAATACACGTCTGTTTAACTCGTACAAAACTACTAAAACTGAAACATTGCAACAGAAGAAAAGGAATTATTTCCCATTGTGCAATCAAACGTTCACGGCTTCGTGGATTCGTGGTGTAAAGGCGAAAAGTACACACTCTGCGAACTGTAGGAACTGAAGCAAGACTACAAAATATCAAACACTTTGCAATTTACTGTCATTTAGAGCACCTATATTTCTGTCTTGAATTATTCTTCACACCATAAATTCTCCGTTGACGGTTTCATAAGTGTCCGTCGTCCGTCTTGGAGAGATGTCCGTCTTGTAGAGAGTAAAGTTACAGTAAAATGACTGAAAAACGGCAGGGACCAACACCAAATGTCTGTCTTAGAGAGGTGTCCGTCTTATAGTAGAGGTGTCCGTTAAGAGAGTGTTGACTGTACCCGTTACCCCGTTAATACGACCACGAGACCAGACCATAGCCTCATCAAATTAGCCTGTGCATGGTCGTAAGTTTCTTTGAATCATATCATTGCACTTATAACTCAAATCTGACCATCAAAGAGCCTGATATCACGTACTACACCTACAGTCAAGCCACGTCAAGCGTACCCCCCAAGATTTCTTATTCGAAAGTTGAATCCGTTGTTGTAGTTGTAGATTTCAGATTCATTTCTGCATTCTTGCATGCGTAATGAGCCGTGAATTCACGCGAAGCAGTTATGAACTTTCTACCAGCTCAGTTTCCCTGAATTTGATGTGAATGTCTTCGAAGACTTCTGCATCCTACGACAAAACTAATCTCGTTTGACGATAAACGTGTGCAGGAACAATTCCAAAGGAATCTTTCCTCCGTGACGGTAGAAACAGATTTTGCGTCGGGCAGTAAAATTGTTTACCAGAGTGGCTCCCAAACTTATCTTTCAAATAACTTTAAACATGCTTTCACTAAAGTTGTTGTCGAAAGTAATTCCGGTTTCGATTCGATTTTCATCGGCTCTTATGGATTCCAAAAAAGCGATCAAGCGCATATAATTTAGGGCTGTTCGATAATTTAATTTCCTTCACCGGCACGGTTTTCCCTTTCTCTTTTCCTCACCTCCCCCATTCTCCCACCCACCCCATCCGCAAAAAGTTCGCCTGCAGTGCAGGCTAACTTCCAGAAAAACCTCTTTTAGTTGACAAAATTTCTTTTACATCTGCTTCATCGCAACAGTGAATTAAGTAGTTCAGAACATAGCATTTTTGGCCTTTTTTTTCGTGTGACAAAAGATCATTTCAATGATACTTTAACCCAAATTTTCAATCTCCAGAGCAATCCGCATAGGAACCTACGCAAGCACATTTGCCACTCGACTCAAACTATTTGGTCGCGACGTTTTCAAGTTGCTCCACTCAGTCAAACTACCAATGGTGCGGCAAAAGGTTGCAAGGTTGACACAAAAAAGCCATCGGCTTTGATTGTATGAATGGCAGAAAAGTGGAAGAGGATAAAATCTCACCTGTCTGTGGCGATGTCCCCCTTTGCGCCAACAATTCTTCGGTTGAAACCGAGATAGACTTAGAAGTTGATCCTTTCCAACAAAAATGAATAGAAAAACAGTGATCACCTCTAACAAAACGTAACTTATGCAAACAGTAAGAAGAATGAATAAAAACAAGAGCTCCAAGCATCACTGAGCCAGCAATAAGAAGCGAGGTAAAGGAAAGCAAATTGCGTATATATATCGGCCATCCTCCTACAGAACAGAACCTACGGCCCACGTCCTACAGAACATTATAGAAGTAAACAACAAAGTCTAACCATTTGCAGAAGTCAGTACAAAGGCAGCAGTTTCTTCTTAGTTATTTTAAGGCCCCTAAGAGATGGTAAGGCTGGAGTTTGAGCCCGCGGCCTGACTCTCAGCTGACCGCCGCTTGTCAAATAGCTCACGTTCAATATATCAAAATTCCACCATGACTCTGAGGCTTTCTGATCATCTTTCCATATTTGGTTTGGTTTTTCTCCTTAAGCTTCTCATGAGAATTACAAGTCCTCGAATGGAGAAAAATTTGCAATTTCGCCACTGAAGCTTCTTAGTCATGTCTTATCCATCACAGAACGCTGAAGTAGACTCGACTGCGCAGAGGCCACTTATTCACGGATCGTCTAGCATGACTTTTGAATAAGCCAGGTCACAGTGCCTTTCGCGAGCGACTCCACATGAGCGCGGTGCGTATCATTTTGTTAACATCATCGCTGATACTTAAATAGCGCTCTCTCTTGTTAAAATTACATCGAGTCTCAAGTCAAGACGAAATAGGCTGTGTTTCAAATAAAACAATTAAAATTCTATACATTTTCCGGGAAAGGCTTCAGAGTTCCGATGTTTCCCGTGAATCACCAGTGAGAAAACTTGTCGTGACGTCACTAGGGAGTTTGACTGATTGCAGTTTACTGATACAAGGCGACGCACGCGGTGTATAAGAATTCCGTTAACCATCACTTTCAAAACGAACCTAAGTGCAAAACCTTTTTGGTGAAAATGAGTTTAATTTTTGGAATGAAATAAAACCTCATCTCATTTCAATATCTTCGCAGTTAGCGTCGCTTTAGAACAGAGGATTAGGACAATGGCCTATTCAAACGTTAAAGAAGCTGGTCATCCTGACTTGTGCAGCCCGTTTTCCCATTTATCAAGTAGTGTTTAGGGCATTGTTGGCCTACTAAAACTCAAATTTTCAGAGACAACTAATTTTGCTGTGGTCTGTAACATTTACACTTGGTGATATCAGGCTGATTGAGAAAATGATCAGACAATAGAAAATAAATCATTCGATTAAGCAGGGCCTCACCTGCAGGCTTGCTTGGTTTCTTACTCGTTGGTGGCTTTGGGCTCCTGCCTGGAAGTAGCGATTGTGGATGAAGCGTTGTCCCATGCAAAATCAACGTCCAGTCGAAAAGAATTCCTTGCCATCAAACACAGAGATTGTTGGTAAGTCAACAGAGAAAAGGACCAAAAAACAAGCAAAAATAACAACAAAACAGAATGGACTTAATAAATCCTCATTTACCACCCGAAAAGGCTAGGCGAGAGTTTTCCGGATTCGTTGCAAATGCGGAGCATTTGGATACCGGATTTGTCTAGTCGTTTAAGGGAGCACTAACCATAACCACAGTTTTTGGTGATTATTGCAGGCATGAATGAAATTGGTTTTAAATCCATGCCCATTTAAAACATTTCAGCCTGCTGCCAAAACCAGGGGCTCTTTTATGCAGGTTTTTTGCTGTACAACAAAAGGGGTAAAAACCGGGCAAAGCAGGGCAAATGAAAATAGGACGTTCCCTCAGTACTCCAACTTACACACGGGAAATAAATCTCGCAGGTTTTTTCAGTGGTTAGGTTGAATATTAGGGAGCTTAAGGAAAGGTGTTTTTGAGCGACGCATGTCAACCGGAAGTAGGTCCTTTACCCTTAATACAGTAACACCCCGCGACTAAGAACCTGGATTTTTCCAAGTTACCCAAAACAGGCTCTTATATAAATGGTAATTAGCACTAGCCTAGGTTCTTCAAAAGTTCCTCATTTTCTGAAGAAAAAAAATGCAATATAGATAAGAGTATTTAGTGGTTCAGCTTATTCCTCATATAAAATCTGCATACCAAATTAGAAGTTATATAAAAATGAACATAAAACGAAGAACTGTATTTAATTTGTAATTGTATCAATAACAATTTTATTTGATTTAAACATTGGCATTTACTTTGCAGTTGGAATGATAAGGCACCTATGTCTCCGAAGAGGATTCTGAATGTTGACTTTCTTATTTGCCCAAGCGTACAGAATTTTTTCCCTAGATTTTAGCGGAGCTCCACGCGCGCGCGAAGCGCGCGCGCGTGGGCGGAGCCCCATTGCTAAGGAAATCTACCCATCCCAGAAAATTTGGTAATCACGTGACCGACCGACCGACCGTCCGTCCGCACCACAGGCATACCAATGTTTACTCACACTTTCTAGCTACTTTGGGAGCCCAGGAGAAAGCTGATTGCACATCAATGTTGTCATCAATTGACAGCTGTCAAAACAGGGTATCCGCTGACCACTATCACCTAACCGAATCGCGGGCTCAGGTGTCGACCCATCGAGGTCGAGTATTTTTTTGAAGTTATCCGCTGACAATTTACTCGTTTTCAAATGATCGCAGGCTCACGTTTACTTTTGCTTTAAATTCATATCAAATACGTTGTGTTTAAATCAGTATCGCCCCGCACTATTACGATTTTGATTTCAAACTGACTTCAGACGCAAAAATTCAGCTAGTGTTTTTAAAATACAGGCGGGGAAGACCTTATCTTACCATGGGCACGTGTTGGTCACGCTCCACGTCCAATTTTTATGCTCTGATTGGTTAAAATTTGACAGGTGAGTTCATGCGTAAAATTTATGCAGCATCTTGAAAGTTGTTTACTTTGACAGCTGAAGCTGACAGAGTTTTCAGTCAGCTTGTGATGTTTTTAACTGTCTTTTTCCACTGGATGTACAAAATGAAATACAGCTGCTATCAAGAGTGTTCTCTTATTCATGGCTGGTTTGTTTATTGGGTTTTTGGTTGAAAAATGCGTCGCTTGTCAAAGCCGATAATCCGATTTCGGATGGCATCGTTTTTGTTTTTCACCTTGCTGGATGCGTACGAGAATTATAAAGGCTCAAGCGATCCTTGCCTTACTTGATAGCTTTCAGGAGCTGCATCTCGAAATATGGTAAGCCTGAGTAATTATTGTATCTAAATCTAATTTCATGAAGTCCAGCGGCGCAGTTTATGAAGCTAGTTTATGCACGTTTGTAATAAGATTTGACTGAGACACTGATCTGGCCTCGTATGAGGTTTGATATAAGCTTAACCTTACAGAACTTTAAAAAGCCTTTAGTCGATATTAATTCACCTTTAATAGAAAGAAAAAACTTTCCGAAGAATATTTAGTTATAATTTTGGCTGTAGAAAGAAAGCTTTGAACGATTTTCTTTTCGTGAGTTCATCTTTTAAACCAGCCAACACCGGGAAACCGGCGGCTTAAAACATAAACTTTAAGCTTACTAGTAAAGACTTGAGGATTCTTAGACACACTTAAAAATACTCATTTGTTTTCGTGAATGAAAATTGTTGTCTCTGTAAATGTTCTATCGAATTATTTTTCTTTACTGATTTTTGGTAGTCTCAAAAGTGTAATTTTCATCGCTTTGCCGTTTGTTTTCAGGCGTTCATAAACATTGCTCGCAGGAGTACTCAAAATGCCAAGCGTATCAAACGCTTTTTAAGATTACACATCGTTATAAAACTGTTAACAAAAAATAGACTCAGTAAATTCTTTATCACGTTGAAGCGTAACTCTTTTGAAATTTCTTCGCAAATTTGGCGCTTGTCAAAAGTTAGAACCGGCTGGCCGTATAGGTGATTTTGGAAATTTTTTGAACGGTTTCGCTAATTAAAAGTCCACGCGTGCCTCTATATGGTCCTGAATATTCAATGAATGCAATTTGTCTTGAAAAATTGTGAAATACTGCATTTTGTACGAGGTCTGTATGATAAAAACAGCGCCTCGTAGAACTCTTTCTCCTACGATGTGGTGTATAAAATAAAAAATAAAAGATTGGTTTGCACGCACCCAGATTTATTGGCAAGAAGACTATTTTTTGGGTGTACATATAAGGCTATATCAAGTCGATACAAAATTTGTTTCACTCCAAAATCACTTAGCTTTTCCCTCAAAAGTGAATGTGCCCTTACGTTAACTGATTTGTGGAATACAAAATTATTGTTTGATTTAAGTTATGAATTTATCAATGGGAGCTTCGCTTTTAGCTGTGGCTAAATATATATATTAGAAAATAAGAACCTGATTCAAATTTTAGGTTAAACAGGTTCTTATATGGAGGGGGCTTAACTGGCAAATTTTACCCTACCAGGTTCTTAGTCACGAGGTTTTACTGTATGCCTTGACGCGTCTAACTTTGTATTGCTAAGTGAGTTTGCTCTCATAAAGGCGATTTGCCCAAAATTGGAATCACACAAAACAGTCTGGCTGGGAAGTAAGCCACACGTCGGGTAGTTACTAGGGGCCCGTTTCTCGAAAGTCCCCGTAACTTTTCGGGTCCGAAATTAAATGTTCAAATCGAAATATAAAGAATAAGAGCGCTGGTCCTGGCTAGCAAACTACTCCATTTTGTTTCCGTAACTGATAGTTTTATCATGTTAGATGCAGAACTATTGAATTCTCTATCTTGCATGTAAACCAAAACAGCTTTACGGGCCCGCTAATTATCGAGACTTTCGAGAAACGAGCCCCAGTAAACTACAGTTTTCAGTGATTATTCCACGTTTACGTTCAGTCTCCACGATATTGCCAACCTACCTGTATTGTTATGATCCGGATGGGAATTTTCCATGGTCAACGTCCAAGGCCCAATGGCCGTCTCTCCCCAGTTATGTAACGTCATGAGAACCCAGTTTAAGTCCTTTGCTCCAAACGCAGCATCAGCCTCTCTGTAGTGTGTAAGGTTGGACACAGTTTCCCGAGGAGACGTGAGCTTTATCAGTAACTCCCCACGAAGTGTGTAGGTCAAGTTGACACTGACTTCAACGTGTTCAAGGTAGTTTATTTTGTCGCCGCAAATATCGTCCCATTTACTTAAATCGATTGTTTCTTTGGAAGTCCCTGTAGAGCCGATACGACTGAAAGACAAGGAGATATATATAGAAACCAAAATCGAGTGTCAATACTAATCGCCTGGCATTATGGAACCCGTTGCATTCTATTACTTGTAATCCCAAACCGTTTCTTTGTTCTCCTCGGTTGGGTTCTTAAGCCACCAGCGGCTGTATATGCTGTTGAGTCTAGTTTTTTAGTACTAAAAAATGAAAAGACATTGGGGTGGAATTTACACTACGCCCTACCGGTTAACGCTACGACGCGGGATCGTACAAGTAACAATGCTAGGAACTCTTTTCCACTTGACTGCAACATCTACCATCCGCTTAGCATCCATGAGACCAAACCCAACGTAGTCATTAACTGCATCGGAAAACAAGTCAGAGAAAAGACAAATGAAATAATAATAATAATAATAATAATAATAATAATAATAATAATGACGATGATGATGATGATGATGATCAATCAATCAATGTCATCAGAACTCACGCTACCGGTGACCACGAAAGCAGATTGCCTCAAGATTTAGCTGTCTAAATTTTCTCATGATTTAGATTCATGTACGAGTATAAAACTGATTTTGTCTTCATGGCGTGTGGTATCAGTGTAATTTGTTAAAAACCGCTGTTGGTAATTCACTTTAAGGGTGAATCGTCGTTTACCCGTTTTTTTTTTCCTAAGTACCCTACACTCCTCGTTTTCTAATCAATATATAGCACAATTACCCTTCTCCAAAACGTTTCTGTACGAATTACCGAATACTGATAACAAATACCCTTTAAAATATGATATTAAAACCTCGGGATTTAACAAAGAATGCATGGGCTTAGCGCTTTTGCCCCCCAGAAATAACTGACTCTGACTGGAAAAAAGCCTGTATTTCATCAAACTAAACAAAAGGTTCGTACCAATTTGGACTTAACATCTGTCTTAAAACAGAATTCAAGCATTTACCTTTAATATCAGCTTTATTGATGTTCCAGTGGCCATCGTTAATATTGACAGGGTCTGGCCGCGCAGTGCGCACAATGATGTGCTGGACATCCCGCCAAGAGAGGTCTCCACTTAAAGCAAAGAAACTATGTTACACAGAGCTGACAAATCTAAGAAACTCTCTTCCGACATTAGATAAGCTCTAACTCTAAGATAAAGGCCTTAAACGTAATTCTTGTGTGACGCGACTCCGGTCATCGAAACGTCATTTTAACACCAGTAGGTCTAGTGATACATCTCAGGTTTTAACCCTACCAAGTACAAGTAAAATCTCAAACAGGTAAATGCCCAACCCGTGAAAGAACGTAACTAAAGCGACAGCATAAAAATCGAAATATATTACCTGCCTTGAAAACTAGTCCCTCTCTTTACATATAGTTTGAAATACTGCAGTGTTGGCTAAAAGTGGTGGATCCAGGGGAGGGGCCCGGGGGGCCCGGGTCCCCCTTTTTTTTAGACCAAACTGAAGTCCGAAGGGCCGAACAAATTTTTTTGGGAGACCGCCCCCCCCGCTTATGTAAGAGTCTGGATGATCCCCCCCCCCCCTTATCTCAAGGTCTGGATCCGGCACTGGTTACAAAATACACATAGTGAGGAAGATACCAACTGAATACCCACAATCGTACAAGGAAATGTAAGAGTGAACAGTTAACACATAGTATCAAGGGCATATGTTGGTTTTATTGTCCACAATTTAAGAGGGAAAACTCACTTTGCACTCAGCATCAAGGCTATGAGTCCAGAGGCCATTGCTGCAGCGGCTGAGCTGGCACCAAAGTTCCCTGTGCAGGCCTTGTTTGTATCAGCAGTAATCTGTAAATAACAAATGAGATGTATATGTTTGGCGTATTAACCTTTGCCCACAAAAATTTAAAACATCACAACCTTGACTGAGATGACCAACAATAAATGAGTACAATATAATTTTTTTTAATAGAGCAATTCATCAATTCTTCTATCATGTGAATTATTCATAGACCCCGTTTACACGGATCCGGACAAAGTTTTCAACACACGAGTTTGTTACCTGTTCAGTCCGTTTACACTGAACCGCGCAAATTCTTTTGCAGATTACAGTACTTGTACTTCCGCTTCCGGTTTTAGGTGCGATTTTGATTAACAGTTAAATGAACACGTGACAGTGAGGAATGAAGTCATGTGTTTTGATTCTTACGCGTTGAGAACAGTTGAGTTGATATTTCTGTGTTTTATCACGTTGATTTAGTGTTCGCGTTTAACAGTCGACTCCACGACAGTACTATTTACACGATTGTGACTCATCAAAGGCACGTAACTAGGCTTCAGGCTTTTACCGCGCAAACGAAACTGGGCAAAAACGCACACGGCTCAGGTGTTTACCCGAGTCTGCGTTAAAGTGGAACCATACACAGGTAAAAAATTTTGAACCTAATTCTGATCAGGTAGAAAAATTGCAGAGTTTACCGTTCAATAACGTGCGGGATTCCGTGCGTCCCGTGTGAACGAAAGGCGGATCCGTCTGCCCGCTCAAAATTTATCCGGACCCTTGTAAAACAAGATCTTAAGATGGCACCATTATTATAACACGGGCATCGAACTATATGACAACTTTGTTTTGTTGTTAAGTTTTTAAGATCTGTCTCATCTTTTAAGTTTCGTTTTTGTTTCATTACGTGGGTCCTAGCGAGGTTAGTCTGGATTTTGTACACATAGGTATTTTCCTGTGTTAATTTTTTGCTTTTACTTGTACTTGAATTTTTGCTTAGCTCGAGAGCTTGCTTAATGTCAATTTAGGAATATTCTACGCTTGCCATTGTCAGATGTAAGTTTTACATAGATGGACGTGTTTGTGATGTTAGAGCTGACTTTGGTTCATTAGTTTCGTTGAAGTTCCTGTTTGGGTTTGTTAACCGGCGTTTTAGTTCTTCATTGGTTTGTAGCTTCTAGTGTGCCGATCGCAACCATGTAGGGATAGTAATACCAAAACATTACCCACACAGCCGCGAGTTTACCTTGTTTTTATTCCCACGGTCAGCTGACTCAAACATGACCAGCTCTGGCTATAAAAACCGTTACTATTTGACTTGTTAGTAAGAGAGTTAGGATTCAGAGGGGAGTTAGAGTTATGAGTTAGTTGTGGTTGTAAGAGCTGCAGAAATCAAGACGAATAAAGACCAAGATGTAAGAAGTATACTTTCGGCACCTCATCGCTTAGCGAGCGAGTTGCTCGAACACACCCCCAAAAGTTTCATAACTTGTTCGCTTTTAGCACGATGGTCACGAAACTTTGAGAAGCCTGCAGTTATAATTACACTGTAATTTTCAGGGAGTTATAATAACTCCTCTAGTGGGGCTAATTTAACTCCTTACAGTGGAGTTATTTTTCGTGGAGTTATTTTAACTCCAAAAAGGAGTTTAAAGAACTCTTTTTCAGGAGTAAAAGTGACCCCAGATATTGAGGAGTTAAAATAACCCCAAAAAAGGAGTTATCCTGTACCTAAAATTTTTACTCCACTTTCAGAGTTAAATTAACTCCAAAAGAGTAAAAACAACCCCTGTAAAAAGTTTTTCGGATAATTTTAACTCCAAGACTGGGAGTAAAAAGAACTCTTTTTCAGGAGTAAAAAATGACCCCAAATTCGATTAAATTAGGTCAAAAAACCCCAAAAAGGGGTTTCCTGACCTAAAATTTTACCTTTTGCAGTTATAATTAAAAATTACCGTGTAGGCAATACAATAAAAACCCGCGTGCAACAGCCTAGTGGTACAAGATCCTGCTGGCAGAAATTTGCCACTTTAATACCTAAAAATGTAAGAACCTGTTCAGCCAAGCAAAATCACGCTGGTTCTTGAACAGTGAGTGTGGGTTACAGCTAAATTATGATAAAAATTTTAACCAAGGAGTTCGACTTCGAGATTGCAAATTTATAGTACAAGAATATACTAAGTTCGTTCCCTAGTCGAGCCCCCAAACAATGTACAAATCTTTTATCCAACCATACTTTGATTATTGCAGCGTTGTTTGGGAGGGTATGGGCTCAAAACTGGCTCTGAAGCTTCGAAAACTCCAAAACCGTGCAGCTAGGACCATCACTTTTTCTAGTTATGAGTCTAACTTCGACCCTTTATTGCAAGAGATAAGGTGGGACAGGCTTTTCATACGCCGAATTAGGCTCCTTGCAATCGAAATGTTTAAATACCTTTGCCAAAAATCTTTGAAAATGAGGACCATGGGTTTCTCTTGTAGATTCCCTTTGCCTCTCCCCCAAACCAACTATCAATTACCCGAGGATTTGCGTAAATGGAGGTCGATGAATTCATTCAAATCTAAATTGGTCAACTTGCTTCTTCTCCATCTGGAGAGAAATCACTGCCTTGAAACAAAACTTATATAACCTTGGTTTCTCTCGAATATTAAGTGTTGTACTTCTATATATAACTCATTAATTTACCTACCACTTCTCTGGTACCAAACATATCCTTTGTGTAGGTTACCGCCATAATGCCAGCACAAGGTTCTGCGAATGCTGGAATGGAACCGTCGCTCTTTATACCCGATATTGCAATTGTGTATATATTGTTCACGTAGCCATTGAACGCACAACTGTCTTTGACGAGGACACCTCCATTACCCGCAGCAAACACATAGATTGATCCAAGACCTCTACGTCCCTAAAAGTTTAAAAGGCTATAATCACGGAGATAGATATACTGACACAGACAAGGGGTCTTCAGATCCGAGGACGGGGAACGGCAGCGAAAAACGTTCTTTCAGTTTTTGTCGCGATTATTCGAACCCACCTACTTTCTCAAATGTAGGCGAAATCTTGAACTGATTTGAATTCCTAAGAACGATATCCAAGTTCAAAAAGAGAAATAAAATTTCGTCGTGGCTTGTTGACATCCTCCATAAAACGACCGTAGACGAGCAGTGACAGCAAAGAAATTTATTTTAAAAAACCGCACTGCACATATAGAGTTCTCGTTTTGCTTTTTTTTTTGACGCTCTCGTTGCCGTCGCCGTCATCGGATCTATGCGTAATTTCATCAGTGAACACCCCTGGGAGTGTCCACACTCAGTATACTACTCTAGTAAGGCAATCCAATGTGATTAAAACTACTTACTAGTAATAACCAAAGGTGACAGAATGCGCTTTTGCGGGTGACAACGATCGACGGTCAAAACGCTCTTGCTTCACCGATAGAAGGTCCAAACGCGCGTGATGAGATTGCGCTCTATGCATTCCATTCATTCTTAGTGGAAGTGAAAACGAAGCTGGCTATATTCCTTACTTGAAAATTGTGAAATCGACGCTGTTCAAAAGAGTCGTAACCGACGTTTCGGCAATGCTTCCTTCTTGAGGGTATGTGCATGCGTAGTAGCAACCTGGATATTAGGATTGCGGGCTCCTCTTGTCGCCCGCAAAAATGATGATTATATCGACGATTAAAAATGACAATAATACTATCTAGGATACTCCTATTAAGTCTGAGAATGGCCAAATTTCACACACTGTAAAACTAAAAAGATCTGTTTCGGCCCCAAAATGCCAATTTAGCCCTGTGATCGCAGAGTCTGATTTTGCCTCTCATAAGGCCATTTGACCATGAGCTGAACCCAAAAGGTTTATCACATATCCAGTCCAGCCCATTCTGGAACTCATTTCAGCCCAAGAGTCCAAATCAGCCTTAGAAAATTTAAATGTATTAGACCCAAAAATAGCACTTCTTGTTCTTACTGAAATGGCACCATTTTGGAGGCTAAAAATAGATTTTTTTTGATTTACAGTATACTCAGAGCCGAAAAACGAAGACCTGGTAAGCAGTTTTCCTGTGAATATACGAGGCCCACAACATTCGCGCTAGTTCACGCCAGCATTGCTAGTACGTTTAAGATTGGTTTCTTCTGTTATGTAACAAATCAAAAGAAATACAGTCGAAGCTATAGTAAGCAACCACCTCGGAAATTCAAAAACGTGGTCGTAACTAGAGCTGGTCGCTTACGGAATGAGCTCTCGCAAGCGTCCGCATCGTAAAACAATAGACGGTGGTCGCTTACGAGAGCTTCGGAAAGTCATTAATAATTCATAAAGAAAAAACAAAAGAAATTAATGCTTAATGAGTGTCTTTATATGTGATATCGACGCAGCTGAACTTTACTTCCAATTTTTTAGACCAAAATAACCCCAAATCCAAATATTAGTGGCAGAATGAGTTGATCTAGATCACAGGATTTTGAAGCCGTTCAATAAACCCACAGTTCGTGTTTTATCGGGTGTTCACGGATGTATATGAACAAGACTCTGAGTGGTCGCTTACGAGAGCTTAAAAACAAAGGAAAAGTCCGATTGGGTAATCCCAAAAGCGATCGCCGTCACTCACGAGAGCTTTTCATTACAAAGTTTAAGTCAGAGTTTAAACGGGGTTTCACAAAGGTGGACGTAACTAGAGCTGGTCGCTTACGAAAGTGGCCGCAAGGAGAGCTTCGACTGTATCTGAGATAGCCTGCGAGCAAGCTCTCTTATTTGGGCGAACGAAGCGAGAACGCGCGAGCGAGCAAGCGGCGAAGCGATCGCTGAACTCACTCCGTAAAAGATGACCGGCAGAGGTAGAAAATATCGCTCAACCTCGTTCCCAGGGTTCTCTCCTACCCGCCCTACGTAGGGGTAGGAGAGAACCCTGGGAACGAGGTTGCGTTTGAGGTAATTGATGCAAAGCTGTACGTGTGAAAGTGTTGGATTGCCAATAGCATATTGCGAGCCGGGGATAAGTCGTACCGAGTTTGTAGTTCTTTTGGAATGAAAATCAGTACCCTTCATCAGTGGTATTCGTTTGTGTCAAGCGCCTTGTTTAGTTCTGGAAACGAGAAGAGAGAAAGTGAAGAGAGATTCAAGCGCCCGGTTCAAGCGCTGCCTTCCAACGTCGGTTTCTTCACCCAATTGAATTCCACTGAGTAGAAAAATTCAGAAACATGTACATGACAATGTAGCCTGTTCAGCTTGACTGTCAAGAAGGATAAGAGAAAGAGTAGTAAGCAACTGGACTAAAAAGTAAGAAACCTAGTCCAGGAAAACGCTGTTCTCCAGTTCCGGAACGGACAAATATATCGATGTTGGTGATTGCGACGGGGAGCCGTGGACGACTTTTCAATGTAAACGAAATGAGAATCAAAGTATCGAGTTCTTATCCGAGCGGACACATTGAAGTTCTTTGTCCCTTGGATAAAAAAAATATCACTGGTCAAAAACGTTACTTTGATGAGTGGAAAGCTGTTGCAAAAGCGATTCATAAAAAAAGAAATTCTACGCGCCCCCGGCTGTCTAATCTTGACAGGTGGTTGTTACTTTTCTAATCTGCGGCCAACTGCGGTGACAGTTCACGCTTTGCAGTGTCCCGGGGTTTCCGGGATGGAAATGAAAATTTATGAGTGATCGTTGCACGCTCTCCTTTCTCTCCCCTGACTCTGGCTTTAGCATCTCCTCTCGCGTGCCTCTCGCGCGTCTACTTTTCACGACATCCCCCAAATGAAGAACTTGCTCACAGGCTATATCTGAGATCGAGGAACTAACCTTAATAAAATTCTAATGGTATTTGCCATATCTCCACCACCCGTTCATTTGTTATTTAGAAGTAACTTAACTCACCTTTTCTGTGCCACTTTTTAATGCTCGTTGAGTCAAGGGACCTGGGCCCTCAACTTCAAGCCCCTTGCTGTTTGGTCCCCAACTATTTGAATATATGTCAATGAGATTTGTAGCGTGGCTGAGAGCTCTTGCGGTGTCAGCATCGGATGCTTTCTTCTTAAAAAACAGGCGAATGCCTTAAAAGAATAACCAAAGATAAATGCTTAGTGACAACCACAAGCAGTACAGGGTCAGTAAAGGAAATGGTACCGGCCGCAGCAGTTATATCATGTTGCAAACGCCGATTGGGCCAAACACATACACTTGAGAAAGACTAATAATCACACATGGTTACAACAAACCTAGGGTCAATTCAATAAAACCTTTACAAGTGTAATTTACAAGTGTAGCTATTGTTTCCGGACCCTAAAACAATGGCTTGAACTCAGCAGGGCCTCTGAATGGCTACCCCAGCGCTTTAACCGTTCGGCCAAGATGCCTCTCGTGTAGGCTAATGGTTAGTTACAAGAAATGTTTCAGCTTCTCTTTACTGCATTATGCACAAGATTTAGGATACATGACTTCATTTAAGAATAATAAGAGAAAGGCAATAATCGACACCTACACAAAACTTACCTCCAAGCTTGGCATTGAATGCCAGTCCTACACCACATTCTCTGTTATTGGCCACAGCACAAATTACTCCTGCACTCTTTTCACCATGTCTAAATAAAATTTATTATTATTCATTCAAAATATTTCCCCGATTGGCTAAAAGCACACGCATAATTCCCCATAACCAGCTACCGATGACCAAATTTGGAAGAATTTTGCGATTAATCAACCGATGACGTAAAAAATGCAGCGTCCTTGCAGGTTAATGCACCGTTAACCGAGAAGACCTGGGGATGAGGTTAAGTTGTGTTGGTTGTGAAAACAAAAATGGCGGACATTTCACTCGTTCTAAGAGTAAGAACTAGGCGAAATAATTGCTAAAAACATGGCAAGAACAGCAAGAGGACAAGTCGAAGGGCAACACCTGCTATTTGGAGAATATCTGCAGAGCTGAACAACTCTAAATGTGCACTATCGAAGATGAACTTAACATCGAAGGACGTAACCATTGATTAGCTTGTTTTTAAACTAGGAATTATTTTGAATGAATAATAAAACAATTATTGAATTCGGCTTTCGTATCATATGAAGAATTATGGAGATGTCGGACGGTGTTCTCGATCTCCATAATTCTTCATAAGACACTCAGCCTCATTCATTAATTGTTAAATATTCATTGTAATTCTACAGTTAAAATTACAGCTGTAATGAGACAGGATCAATTAGTGAGAATTCTTTTTTATGAAAAATAAAAGATAAACAGTATGGCACCAAAACTAAACAAAACTTCAGAGTCTTAATCACAAGGACATCCCTAAATATAACATGTTACCAAAAAGACTATTGTCTAACACATTTAAAAGGTGCACGGCCATTTAACGGTCGAGACTAAAAGATGTCCAGCGAGCGTTAGCAAAGGTTGGATCAAAATGTTCAACTATTTTCTTTGCTCATTTAATACATGTTACCCCATGATTAAAAATTCAACACGTTGTTCGTCATAATTATACCCATGAAGCTGGTCGCCACTTGATGGTAAAGGAGAAGTGTCATTGTCAACAACATCTAAACTTGCGCTTCCATCCTACAAATTAGAGTGCAAAAAAAATCCATTTTGCGAACTAGGATGTGCTAGCCTCCCACGCAGACGTTCTCAGGGGTTCTTCACGCGTTGCTGCCCCACAAAGGAACGCGTGACGAACTAATAAGAACGTCTGCGTGCAAGGCTAAGGATGTACTTGCTCATTTTCACAAGAAAGGTTTTGCACTAAGCCTCGTTTTGAAAGTGACAGTTTCTAGAACTCAGAAATAGCCTGATAAGCAAGTGAAGGATAAATAATAATAATAATAGTAATAATTATAATTATAATTATAATTGTAATAATAATAATAAGTTTTCAGCCTTAGGCTGTTAGACAAGGCTTTCCGTGTGATGTAAGGTAAGTAAGGCAAAGGCGCACACGAGCCAAAGGCCCACACGGCTGGAGCTTATACCGGTTTCCGTAGCACGAAGCAAGCCTAGGAGTATTGCTACTCCCCCCTGGACGGGATACTAGTCCATCGTAGGGTTAGCCCCCAGCAGTATGTCGCCTGTACCCATTTATACACTTTGGTGAAGAGAGACAAAGTGGAGTAAAGTTCCTTGTCTCAGGAAACAACGCGACGGGCGAGGTTTGAACCCAGGACCTCCAGATCTAGAGTTTGAGGTGTTAACCGCTCGGCCACACACGCCTCCACTTCCGTGTGATGAAGAACAAGTTAAAAAATGCTAGTATTTGAAGTTGATTGATGATACTCGTTGTAAAGGGGCAACTGCCTCAAAGGATTAACTCATCATTCAAACAATGCACCAAACCTTAACTTTTGTTTATAAGAAACCAAATGTGAGTAGTAATGTAGTGACAAGGGGGGTGCTGATCTAACTCAAGATAGGGGCCAAGGGTTTGATTCTGGGCAAGCCGTATTTTTTTATTCTTATATTTTCCAATTTTTTTTTCCTCTTGGGTTTTCCCCCGTTATTTCTTCTCCTGGGCCCAGTTGTTTGAAGGCCAATTAAGCCTTAACCCAGGGTTATATTTAACCCGGGTTTCATTTTCCTTTTTCAAAAGCATTTTCTCGGATAACTTTCTCTCTATTTTTGAGAGCATCCAATCATCAACTTGTTGACAAAAGAATTAAACTGAATTTACTTAATTTAAGCTTTCATATCTGAATTTAAATTTTTAACTAACCCTGGGTTGTCTTAACCCAGCTTTGAACAACCCAGACCTGGCCCTTTACCTGGGCTTTGCGTTACACATATTTTAAGTTTTTTTAACAAGCCCCCTTTTACGCACACATGGATGATACAGACACTAGGACATGTCTGTCTCCTCGGGCTCCGTATTAACCAGGTATCACACTGTAGAAAGCCCAACATCTCAACAATCTTTATGAAAAGTAGGCAACTGAAACAATCTCATATGTGTGATTCTCCACTCAAAAATCCTCTCATTTGTCAAATACACTCACAAGTCTATTGGTACTTCCGATACAGTGTTTGTGCCCTCAGAAAGATGATTAAAATTTATAATGAGGTCAAACATAGATGAACTAAAAACTGAACGACTAATTTAAACTTTTGCAGAGTTTAAAATGTACTGGCTCACCTGCAAATAGTTGTCATAAATTTCAGGATGTTGGGGGTCAAATCCTTCATCTACCACAGCAACAACCACTCCCTTACCTGTAATATTACTGTTCCAGGCGTCAATCACGTTGTATGTAGGTCCATCAGCTCTATTCTGGATACAACAAAAAAGCTTCCCTTGTTTCACAACATTTTCTTTAAGCATAAAATGTGAGAAGAGGATAATTATAGCATTGCAATCATAATCTAAATTAGAATTTCATACAAAAACACTGAATTATACATACATATTTAGTAAATGAAATATTTTATTCTCATGATCTCCGATGAAAAGTTGCAAGGTGATGGTTCTAGCTCATGTCACGTTCTGATGGTTTTAAGTCAACTGCATAAAAAGCTAAACCAATCAAACATATCCAACACCACCCAACAATGCCGGATGATAATTATATTGGATCAACATGCTGCATGAATTCAGTAAGGGTTTGATTTGCCCTGAATTTCTTGGAACTGCATTACACTAAAAAACATAACCAGTTGCACTTACAATATACCACATATCAGGCCACCTTCGATCATTGAAACGATAGACTTGTGACTCAGAGAGCAACTTAAAAGACTTCAACAGTTGCTGTTCAACCATTTGAACCTGCAATGAAGTGATAAAGCCATCACTCACTGAATTGTCTTGAATGTCTATTCTGACTCACAAATTAATGACATTGTGATGAAGCCACAAAAGTAGTAATGTGGTCTCACCTAGACCAATTTATGCAACTTAACTCACTGCTAAAATAGGATTCATGCATATAGATTATTGATTAGACAGACAAGGTCTGTTTGGGGTCAAGACGATGACTTTAAGATGGGTGTCACCTCATTGATGCAAGAGGATACCATTCTCTAACGACATCTTAAGCCATCCTCTTGCCCCACAGGTGGTAGCCATTTGTGAGTGGGTTGGGGATGACATCATCAGTGATCACCAGCCCTTAGCCTTTCCAAAGCTAAAAGACAAGACCTTCAACAGACCCAACAGGACACGAAACTTGTCAAATCTCCATGAATATATCAATATATTTGCAGTAGTTCTTTCTTGCCTCGCTTACAAAATCTAATTCATTAAGTAGCCAAGGGTGAAAAAGTCAAGCACATAACAAATTGATCAGGATGAGTAATCATACAAACAAATAATCCAAATTCAAAGGCTCCTTGGTAAATAAACATAGAGGAAAATTACTTTTAATTATTACAACTACAAAACAGTAACAAGTTGCATTTTTCCATCAACTGCCAGAATGAAATAAACAGACCCTTTTTTGTTGGTTTCAGCTTCTAACAGAATTATCTGAACTTTATTTAAATATGCTATATTATTTCCAAGACATGCTTAACCGGTTATAGTGTTCCAGCATTACATGTACCTTACTAACAACACTAATAATATAATTTATTGTAATTTCTGCCAACAACTGAAACACTGGAATTCACTCCACAATAAAGCTAAGTGAGAGCATGTGGAATAGGAAAAGAATGGAATGTTGTGAGCCTGCAATACGCCTTGCAAAAGGGACATTTCAATCCGTAATATACAACATTACTTTTGGAAAATCCAAGACGGAGGACATTGACATGTTCACTTCGTAAAGTTCATGACGATTTTGCTACAAACCTTAGTCGTTCACAGGGATTCATCTACCTTCAAGCTTTATTTTATCACACAATACATAAAAGTATAGGATGTATGGAGTTCTGGTCGCCAACATGGCGACTAACTTTTGAATCTTGGTCACCAGCACAGTAAACTTAGGTGCATTGGCAACTGTATCTGGTGCAATTTCGTGCCCTGCCTAAGCCTGTCATGATGCCTTGAATCAGAGTGGAAAGGAACTCACAGACCACCAGTGGGTTGCTTCATGGCCATATCTACTTAGCTACCCTGGAGGAAGCCAGGCGAGCCAAACCTTTCTTTGACGGGTCCTCCACGGATCTGCCTATTCAGCCCCAATAATATACATGGTTGTATCCTTACTACCATGGTAACCACTATTACTGCTGCACTAGGGGAACATTAAAAATACCAATGCATAGTTTCTACAACTGGTTTGCTGAATCACATTTAAGCCATGTAACAGTAAAATAATGTATACCGGTATAATGGCTTGACACGTTGAATTGTGTGTGCTTTGCAAATTTATTTTCATACCGAAATATGTCAGGTAGTAATCACCTGTATGAAAATTTATTTGGAGCAGAGAAGTGTTGCTGCAAATATCCTTACCAAACCCCACTGAGAGGAAGGTAGGTCTTCAAAACAAATTTAAAGGAAAATAATTTTATATAGCAAAACTGGAATTTCCGAAGGGGTCTGGGTTCAAGCCAAACACTCAAGCATGGATATTTTCTTAAACAATGCAATCTACAGTCTCACTGTCAGTACCACACACATTTACGTGTAATTTTAATTAAGATCACATCACTGGTATAAAATAAAATAAACATGAAAGACTGACAACTGAACTCCACAATTCAGTTTAAAGTATTTACTTTCGGTTCCATCGCAAGCCCTTTATGAAGAGAGGCACTGGAACGTCTGGACTGTCTTTTCACCTTCTGATTTTGAAAACTGTAATAATTATCAATGATCTACAAAAGAGAAAATAACAATATCAATTACAATGGCTTCCTCTAAATATAAGTAAAAAAAGTCACCTAAAACTTGTGTAAAGTTATAAAATGATGTACAAGTTGATCATTGATCCACGCTTTAAAATTGAGACCTTGAAAAGAATTTATTTAGCTTAGAATTATGTTGGGTGCTTTACATGTGAGTAGCAAAAAGCTGGCTAATCAGTTTTTCATCCAAAAAAATTATGGAACAGACATACATGTTTAATATTAAGCATCTTGTCAGCACCACAACATTTCATAACCAAATCAGTAACTCCAATCTAGCTGAATGCTTCAAAGTTATTCAGCTAATTTGTGCATTGGCAATATCATGAACTTTTCTATTTTAAAGCTTCAGCTGGAATTTTTTTATTTGATTACTAAATGCTACTTTCAAAATGTTTTGAATTCAAGGTCATGTAGCATCCACCATGAAGACAGGAATTACCATAAATTCATTACAACTATCCCCGGCCACCATTACTCTGTTAGTGAAACATGGGTGAGTAAGATAAGTCCGTGTGGAGGGAAGGGAGTCCCAGAAGGCTAAAAGAATCAACTCATTGTCCGACTACACTCCCTTCCCTCCACAGGGACTTATTAGCGGAGCTCTCGCGCGCGAAGCGCGCCAGCGGAGCACCATGGGTAAGAAAATTTGGTAAACTATCCATCCGATAAAATTTGGTTATGACGTAGCGTACGCCCATAACCAATCCATAAATATTAAAGAGAGCTTCGCTTTTAGCCCTAGCTAAATCTATATATTATACTCGTCACCAGGTGCCCCGAGCTCAGTGCCAGTTTTGAATTGGACCATGCCAGTTGTGTGATCCTAATAGCTTCAGGCCACCATTTTAGTAGCTTAACGTACGAGTTCCATGGAGCCTGCTGACTTCGCATAGCTAGCTGCAGATGCTTCAGTGGATTTGTGGTTTAGAGAAATTCATAGTCCACGAGCTTCACATGTTTATTTAGCAACTGGATTCGATTTTCGTGAAAAAAAAAATTGTGCTGGTTTAGGGTTGATCAGAGCCCGTGCTGCCGTCTGCCTCCTACCTTGCCACTTTACTATGTTGGAAAGATGAGGGAGACTATTTTTCCCAAAACTTCATGTGCATATTAAGGACAACAACAACTTGCCACATTGTAAGTTTCATCTGGTCATGCTATTACTGCATTGGCCATGGTACCACATGGATGGTATGAGCAGGTGAGTGAGGAGTTAATGCACCGGTAGTTATTTGAAACCCTCAGACCGTGCCCCATCCCCTTCTTGTGGATGATGGGATAATGCGGGAACTTTCACTTCATAATCACTCCATTTTTGTTCCCCAGTACATGTAGGTGGGGGATATAACAGAAATAACAGTCTTTGCCTCCCTAACAGGGGAATAAGTGGGGCCGTCACTTTGTGGTCAGTGTTTTCATTTTCGCACTGTATACATTTTCATATTTGCTTCTCAGAACTAAGAAATATGCTTGGCAAAGTGTCTTTGAATGCCGCTTACATAATTAGACACATCTTAAATAAGACACAAACTTTACCATTTATACAAGCATATAGGAAGTGTCTTAAATGAGTCACGGATTATTTAAAGACATGAACACATTTTTTGTGCCATTTTCCAAGAACTTCACAACACCCGGCTTATTTTTCCCTGTATAATTAAGTACTCCAATTGTTTAATGACTTATTATGTAGCTGTATCGTGGAAATGACAAGAAAGACACTTATAATGATTGAATCATAATTTTCTATAAAAACTCCAGAAGACTGAAAAACATGATTTGTAATTTTTTGTTATCTCATATTTTGTGACTTCAAGTTGTCAAGTCTTCAGATAGTCTTCATTTTTTCAACATGTTCCTTAATGGCTATCATCATATCATTTGTCATCCCTTGTTACGTTTGACGATAAGAATAGACAGTTTTAAAAAGGTCAAAAAGGGAGTACAGTTGAACCTTGTGTGTGGGACCTATGGAGGCAAAGGGAGTTCATCATTCACTTTGGCCCTGAGGAGCGGAGAATTAACTTGCTTTCACTTGCATAAAAAGTGAATGCCCTTAACTCATCCCAGAGAGGGTGGTTGGGGAGGTGGGGTGGGGGTCCGAGGGTTTCAAGTGACAAGTGCATAATAAGTTCTGTGAGATAAAATTATATATCTCCCTTCATTGTTTGATATCGATTCTCAAAACTATAAAGCTGTTGGCTTGTCATGCCCTGCACAGGCTAAAATACTCTTAGGATTTTACGAAATAATTTTTTCCTAACTCATTAATCATTCATCTTTGTCATACATGCAACAGATCATGAAAAATCACTCGCAATCTTTGACAGCTACCTACATTGTAGCTGCATTCAGATGTACGTCATTACAATGGGTTTTATCATAAAGTCATCTTGGCAAGATAAACAGGTTAACTTTACAGTTTCTATTAATTTCATCAATTTCGATCCTCCACTTTTCCTCAAAAATGTCGTAAGTTTCATGCTTTTGACAAGACCGAGCGTTTATTGTGGATTACGGAACAACAACACTACCTGACTGTTCGTCATCGATAACGAGGGATATGTGAATCTACACTTAAAGAATGTTGTCAGTAAATTGTCATAATATTGAAAACTGCCGCAATATCGTAGTACCTACCTTGCCGTGATTTACAAAGCCATATTTTCGAGCCAGTCTATCAGCCTCGTAATTGTCGCCATCAATTTGCACTGTCCATCGATTAGAGTACTCCAGAGCATTTGAACCGAAAATGAAAACCATAAAAATCGTAAAAAATAACGCAACTGTTGAATTCATAGCCTTTTAAAATAGGACTATCTACAACATTTGTTAAAAACATGGTAAAACTTCCGCGATTAGCTGTTTCTTGTTTTCGAATTTTCGAAAGAGAGGTTACAAAGTTATCCACGATGGAGAGTGGGGTTCGGTCGCCCTATTTTATTATGTAGGGTGAGGAGGGCAAAATGTGGTACATCTTAAATTTTCTTGATCGTTACTCGGAGAACCGAGTACGCTTACCTCATAAAATTTTACGAACAAAACTTAAGCCATTGTAATAAATTCCGTATCTCAAAGGCGCGCGAGCCCCACTTATCCTCCCTCCCGGACTTTTGTTCCCGACCGGGGGGTGCTCCTGGGAATTCTTCGTGGGTTGTGCCGCCCGGTTCTCGAAATCCTGACCCTACTTCAGACAAAAAAATGTCATTTTCCACACTCGTTTTCTGACCTGGCCTCTAAAACCCATACCCGTTTTCACATGTTTACATAAAACAGAAATTAAGAGGTTTGAAATTATGTCATTGCTGAGATTAAAACCGCAACAAAATGATTCACGGCTTAAAATCCATTTCGAATTCTCATGTTACACTTTCTTTCTTATTTATTTGGAATTGAAACGACGAACACATTGACACACAACCGTAGTTCCTTCGTAAACCATCCCGATTCCAGACCAAAATGAGCAAAATCTATACTCGTTTGCAGACTAAAACGGCCCCAAAACCCTACCCGTTGGGCCGGCACATACCCACACGGCTTATATAAGGGAGTACCCCCCCGGGCTTTTGTTTGACCTCTCGCGGGTTTTTGGCTGACGCAAAAAGTAAGGGCTGTTTTGCAGTCTGAAAGTCCAGCGAAACTGAAGCTCGTTGGGCTTGTCCAAGGTGGACATTTTTAATATTGTGGTTTTTACGCATACCCTAATACTGAAAAAGCTCGCGCCCGGGGATAGTCACACTCGCAGCCCTTTTTTGGATGTCACGCAACGCTCCCCCCAAAAGAACGCTGTCCTTTCGGGGGAGCGTTGCGTGACGTCCAAAAAAGGCTGCGAGGAGACTAGCCGAGGGACGGATAAGAGCGTTTGGCGCCCAAGACATTTCTCCCGTACTTTTGCCATTTTTGTGTCGTTGATCCCTTACTCAAATATTATTAGTACCTAAACAGCCGATCACGGAAGTGTCTCCCTTACCTTTCATTGCACGACAGGCTACAAATTGTAATGTTTACCAAAAGAGGCTGTAAACCACGATATTGACTTTATGAAGGCCGGGCCCCGAGAAAGAAACCCAACAACGACTCAACAACCCGCTGGTCATCCTCAATGAGGAAAACGACGGATATAGTTATAAGAATACCTACCCCCAATCGTTTTTCTTCGTTTTGTCATGATTCATTTTACTGCACGACATAAAAAAATGTTTTCTGGCAAGAGCCATTATGGCTCTTGTTTTCTGGTTTTTATACACTGAAAATATGTCGATACGGTAATATCATCGACCCATCACCCTTTCTGCATCGTTTTACACCTTCTTCCGAAGCTAGCCTGTACACAGACGTTGTTTTATTTTTATTTTCGTTTTTTTTTGGAAAACATCGGCGTGTGCGAAAGGGAGGCGACTTCGCAAGCGAGGCGAGCGAGAGCGAGCGCGGAGCGTGAGAAAGAAAAATAAATAACTCCGAAGCTGATTTGGAGTTCAATTTGTAAACAGTCCTCGAAATCCAGCACCTTTTCTTCTTCCCTAAGTTCGCTTTATTCTGACCGCCGTTCTGACTGATTGCGAGTTGCTTTCACAATTCATCAAAACCCCCAATGTAATCCAATCTGATCCACGTCTACCACAGCCATCAACGTTTTTTTCTCTTGACTTAAAAAACCACTGAGTATCTACACTTTGATTTAGCCAACAATTATTATTAATAGCTCAAAGAATCAAACATTTCCACGCCACATTTTTTTCAATTCTCTAAACAGTTTTAAGTATTTTTTTTTTCTGGGACAAAAAGGAAATTTGTTTTTAGCATTAAACACTGGAATTGCTCTTTTCTTACGTTATAAACCTGTTTCGTGCTGAAGTTGCTAAATCTGACTATTTTATATGGAAAGAAGCTCATTTGAAACAAACTGTAACTTTCTTAATTGTGATTTGACAGTTGTTTAGTACGTGACAACTAATCCACAAGAGGTTTTGTTTAACTTTTCTCAACATTATTGGGTCATTTCATTTATGTTCCCTCGAAACTGTATTTCCTGTTGTAATTTCCAGTTTATTCAAAGGGCGATTCTTACCTTACAGTTTTTTTAAAACAGTTTTTGAGCAGTGTCGTTCTGCTTTAAGAAAAATTAAATTGGTGTTTTCGATTTGTTGTGATAAATATAGCGGGATATCGATAAAAACTTCCCCTTCTTATGATTCCTTTCCCACTAGAAATTTTCGTTTCCATAAAAGGAAATCCTGGAAGGACCTAAAATCTTAGCTCAGCCAGTAATAACATAATAAGAATAAGGAAAAAGAATAAGTATTGCTTAAGCGCACTAAAAGTAAAATCTCCCTTAACGCTAAAGCACGTATAAGAGAAGAAAAACGAAATTGTCGGTCACGCTTTTAGTTGCGGTCACACTGAGACAGTGACGAAAAGAAAATATTTGTATTAAGCTTAGGCTGCAAACACGACAACATCTGCCTGTTACATGTTGTTTAAATGAAATCTCTCAGCATTTTTATATCTACCATTCAATTCGAGAGCAGACAACTAACTTCTATAACTTCTACTGAAGTGCTTATCGCAGCTAACAGTGTCAGAAGAGTGGGTGGAAAGAGAAAACTCCTGATTGCGATTGTCGATAACACCAAGAAAAAAAAACAATGAAAGTTTGATGATTAAACTGCTCAGGAGGACTTGAAACCCAAACAAGACCCTTAATTGAGGTAAAACTAAAGTTCAGCTTTGACTCCTAAAAATGCCTACTTCTAACCCATTCCAAGCTTGAAGATAGTAGTGCAGTCGTGCAGTAAAAAAGTGATGCAAAAAAAAGGGGGCTGGGGAGAGAAATTGTTGAATTTTGACCTTGTTTACCAAATTAGTGCCTTCCCTTTCAGCTTCCAAAAGACGTACGAGCAAAATATAACGAAAAAAGTGAATCGCTGACCAATAACTGACAGGAGATGAAATGTCCTTGTCAGGTACGAAATTGAAAAACTAAAATACTTGGCAACCTAAAGTTACAGCACTGTATTAACTGCCAACTGAAGGCAAACCGCCAACATAGGACAGTGGAAACACCTATAAATTACGAAAAGCGCTTGGTCTACTTAAAACGTTCTTCACGCACATTGCTTCCCAAGCAAGCAAGAGGTATTTCTTCATCATGAAGGTAAAAACGTATAGTTACCCTTTAATTCTTCTCCATTACAGTGAATCGAAAAAGGTGCTTTAGGTATGAAGTGTCAAAAAAGGGAGTCTTTACGTACGTTGTCTTAACTTGCAATGTTAGTATCGCACACCCTTTGTGTTCTTTAGTTCTGATCCATCTCGACTTGATTTAGCGGCAAAAATATGAACTCCAGTCAGGTTCATTGAACATAAACGTAGGTTTTCACCGCCAAACCAAATGGAACATGTATTCCGCTTGTACGTAAACTGAAAACCATTGTAACCAAATGTTGTATATATAATCAGTTCTCTGTAGCTTTTATTCTTCACTCCATTAAAGCATATTTCTTCACATGTTCATATTTTAGAATTCTGTACTCTGTTCTACACTTAAAGGATTCATCGACATCAATGCGCGCAAAACTTGATGATCTAAACTCAATCCACACACTTGTTCAGCTCAACATCTCCGAACGACTACACAGTTCTAACAAAAGCTCAGTTTTCAGATCACGTGACGGGTTTTCCCGCCACAATGACGCAATAATTTCTAACACACTCCCCGCCTTGATTGACACGGGTCAATCAACAACGAAACGAATAAAATAACAAATTAAAGGAAAAGAGTTCGCTGTTCTTTGACTTAATGTTAATGTTCACTGACATGTTCCTGTTCAGCATTTCCCACGAAGGTAACAGGGAAATCAGTGTTTCTGTTCTCCATTGTGCATAACTTGTTCATGGCACTTGAGGATTACCAATCTCGTAAAGCAATGTTCTCTAGGCAGAAGTACAGGAAATTTGGTATCATAGGGTAACGACGACAGACCTATTCTTCCTTGACATCTGACTACACCTTCACTGTCCTGATAAAGTCCCAGAGTCGACTTCATTTGCTGGTACTTGTCACTGTTCAGGATACCCTTTTGAACGTGTTTAATCCACTTCTTCTCAGCTTGCTTGTAAACTTGCAAGGATTCTTCTTGGTCAGCTGATCCGTCCCTTCTCCTTTTCAATTTTTTGACAAATAGCAACACAAGTGAAGTAACTCTTATGAGCTTCGTGAGGGAACTGAGATTCAGATTGATGATACAGGATTGATGATATTTCAGTTCCAGATTTGGCTTCTTGTTTTTCGGTACACGTGTTCAGCCGGGTTTTCTGACGTAGGACAGTACCTCCATTGCTCAGGCGGTGCATTTCGTCTGATTTCGCTCACGCGATTCTCCACAAATTGCTTGTATTCATTGAACATAAACGTCCAATTGGTTTTCACCGTCTTGACAAACCAAATGGAACATGTATTCCGCTTGTACGTAAACTGAAAACCATTTTGCTTGTTCTCTACAGTTTCTCGTAGCTGTTGCAGTACTCGGCCTGGCTTATACAACCCTAGTTCCAAGCATATTTGGAAAGGTGAGATAGTAAAATGCAATTTTTAGTATTTTTGTCTCAGAAAAGACAATGTATCAAAAAGGTTGATTATCGGTGTCATGAAGCCTTACGATATTCCCTTAATACTATAATAGATACGATACCGCGCGATGTACTGAACTCAGTTGGCGGAGTACTGTTCTAAACTAGAGAGCAGAAGGTCGCGAGTTTAATTCTCGGAGTCGGCCCAGTACCAGAACTGCCGGGCACACGAGTGGGTCATATCGTGGCTTTGACAACCACGTAAACTTACGATAGCGGTCCCGTCTCCAGTAAGGGCCTCAACCAGTAGTTTCGTGTTAGTGATACATTTACACTCAAAGAAGAAGGTTTCATGTACACATGTTTTTTTTTATCTTGTTTTAACTATGTTTTTAGCGTGAACTGTTAACAATGAATATTGAGGAGAAGGGAAAGGCTTTTGTAGAAGAAATTGAGATTGACGTGAGCCAACAGATTGAAATATTTCGGGTTCCTTCTCACAACGACGTCGAAGCTGCCCATTACTACCATGACTTTAAAAAGGTGAGTGTTTCAGTTAAGCTTTATAACAGAGCACTTCAAATACTTGTGATAGAACACATAACTGTGTACTTACCAGACGAATGACAGAATTCGTGTCTTGGAAAATGTTCAAAAGTTAACTCACTCTTAACTTCTTTGTTCACATTTAGCGTATGACTGCCACCAAGATTCCGTCTCAAAAAGTGTGTCACATTTCCGAAATGGATTCATCTCTTCCATCTCCTCGTAAATTGAAAGCGGACATGAAAAGGGTAAGCTAAGTACTTCATTTGCACTATTGCAGGTCTCGTAACGGAGAAAATTCATTTTGCTCTAACGGGGGTTTTTCAGGTTTTTCACATGGGTTTGTAGAATTAATATGAGGGTTACAGTAAGGAACAGTTGATAACTAGCAAACTGCCTAAATTTCAACGGACAGCTTAAACCCCAGTACTACTAAGTGCTTTATCCCTGGCATTTCGCTAAAGAGGTTTTCTATAAAGGAGTTGCTTAATTAAATGTCTTTTTGAAAAGGGCGATGAAAAACAAATTCTATACAGATGGTTTTTTAACTAGTTGCTCCATGATTATTGCAGTGTTAACCATACGTGTTCCATTTTCTACAGGCGGCTTCTCGCATTGACCAACTTCCCGTAACGACCCGGCAAAGTCTGGTCATGGTGACTGGTTCTGCAAACAGAACTCTTCTTCCAGATCAGATTTTGAAGTTTTGTGGAGCCTTGCCAATTTACAATACAGAAGTAGTTAGCAACCCAATCTATGAAAATGGAAATGCAAGTAAGTCAGCAATACATTTATTCCAGAAAAAAAGCGAGGCTTAATATTCCCCTTGAAACTAAATAGCACCCGGGGGGGGGTACTGCCATATATGGGCTATATAGGTATGTGCCGCTGTGAAGGGTATGGTTTTCAAGCAGTTGACTCTAGGATAGGGTATATAAATCAGAGCGTTTGGGTCTAGAATAGGGTACTGATCAGTTGGTTGAAGATTTTATCTAGACCAGGGAAACTGCTACTCTAGGATAGGGGGGATTTGGGGAGTTTACTCTAGTATAGGGTAGCAAAATTTAGCTGAACTAGCTCTAGTATAGGTTAAGAATTCCAGGGTCCCAGCAGCACATCCCCACCCAGAAATTCCTTAAGTACCCCCCCGGGATATAGCACTGATAACGAACATAGAAAGCATGAGTAAAGAAAGTGGTAACGGCAGAAAATGTTGAGAAGAAAAAGGGGCTCAAAATGCTGTAGAGCTGCGAACTGTAATGCGTTAACGGACTCCGTTAGTAGACTTGACCTATCATTTTCAATTTTAAGCTTTGTTATCACTGCTTTTAGCTCTGCACTTCACTGGGACCAATAATTTTGTTTTCTTAGAAATATTATCCTCCGCTACTGAAGTAGCTCTAATTTTGACCCGTATTTGTATTTCCGCTTCCGTTGTTCACGGGCTTACATCTACCGAATATTTTTTCTGGAAGACAGTGTGTAATAAAAGCGAATAACATCGAAAGTCAAAAAAGCTTCGGGGCAGGGTTTTCGTTAAGCCGAGGGTGGGCGTTTTCCGATGTATTTCTCCAAAGTGCTTCATGCATGATCTGAAACGGAAAGAGAATGAGTTTGCCATGTATCTACTCAAATGTGCTTCGTCATTGAATGAGCAAAGACCGGACCAAAATGGCCAAGCAAAGTGTGATTAACTTTGTAAATGCATTGATATGTGTAAATCATTGTATGAATGAATGGCTGGACAGATAAGCGGTCGAATGAATGAAAAAATTCATGGCGATCAATTGGCAATGAACAAACGAACAAACTAACGAAAACAAATTAAAAGCTTGGATAGCAAACCTCTTGTAAAGCTTTTAATCACCTATTCATTTAACCCGAGCTATATGTCTGTAATTGTTTTTTTTCTGTAGTCATCCGAACGAGGCGTTATAAACGGGAGAGTATCAGGAATAACAGCATTTCAAACTTCAAGAGCTGCCTCAAGGCAGAAGACAAGGATATGTTTACATACGTGAGGGAAGGGAACTGCTTCGGCTTAAACTCTGATGCATGGGACATACGATGCAAAATGGTAACTAGAGGCTGCTATTACCTAATGACATGCAAAAAAATGCCAGAAGTGTTATACTGGAATTGTACAACTGACCATTTAACCACTGGAAATCCGTTTTGTTGCGATCCAATATGCCGGGGACAAATAATCACATAAGGAGCAAATCCGCAATAAGATCTTTCGCTTGTATTCTTGGCATTTTTTTAAATATATAAAATAGCCAGTTTCAGTTTTTTCTTCATGCCTAATTCATTGTTAGATAAATAATTAGTTTAAGGTCAATTGTCACATTTTGTGTTGTCTTAACGGTTTTTTTTCCTTAACAACAAAAGTTGTTCCAAATATATAATGGTAGCTGCCGTTTAAAATCTTACCAAAGACAGTGATGAAATGTTCTCCTCAGTTTTTTCAATAGAGAGGCCCTTTGAGTTTCTCACAGGGAATCAGCAGCCTAAATATGCACTGAATACGAAGTTGCATAGATAATATAGAGTTAAATCGCATTCTTTAGGTAGAATTATGCTTTTTTGCTTGTTCAAGTTTCATTGTTACCATCGGATCTCTATAGTATTTCCATATAAATAATCTTCTTGTCGGGCAACCGTATGAATTAATATGAAAACAGAAAGCAGAGGGCTTTGTAACAGAGATCCGACGTAAGGTCGGTCAGGTTCAGGTCAATTGCATTGTTAATGCAATAGCATTTTTGTAGATGTTACTTTTATTTGGTTGTTTTCTTATACGTTAGGTAAAAGTTAAATATGCCTGCTCCATTGATGTGCTTTTCAGCAGTATTTTCAATAAAGTAAATGTTCGTGCTTAGATATGCTTGATGTGGATTGGAATGATCTGTAATTCTTTCCCGTTTCTCCCCGCACTCACATTAACTTTGCAAGCGCGCACCGCTTCAGCTGCATGATGAAGAAAACCTTTTGCAACGACAGCCGCATGTACAGGGACAAGTTCCTCTAGTTTGCTTTTGAAGACCAATAAATCAACAAGTTTTCCCTACTCTATTTCCTGTTCTCTGGCGTTCTTTTTTTGGCTTAAAATTAGCGCTGGTAAAGATAACAAAAGCACGTTCGAAATCAGGTCTCAGTTTGGTCAAAGAAGATTATCATATTATTCGCGGACGTTTTGCGATATACTGTAGTGGCTTAGTGATGGTACTGGCTAAACGCGGCGTGTTTCGCCAGTACCATTGTTACCATCATAATACCGTTCTGATTGGAGGGATTCAACTTGGTCAGTGTTAAATAATGAAAAAAAAAAAAAAAAAAAAAAATCTCAGGATCCTGTTTCATTATAGCCTCCCATCCAGGCGTTTTTAAATTTTAGGGGAGCTCGTCTTTCATCCCTCCCCAATGAAAAACGAGCTCCCCTAAAAACGCCTCCATGGGAGGCTAGTTTCATTTAAGACTTTTTTGTGTAAGTATGACCGTTGGCGGAAATCGATACTCTAATTTTGTGAATGACGCGCAAACATAGCGGAAGAGAACAGGGAGCACAGGAGTTATTTGTGACCTTGGTTGTTAATTGTAGTTAAATTTTACGGTTGATAGCACGCATCGCCTTTGTTTTTATACTGTAAAATCGAGCAAACCGTCATTCGATCAACTTATAAACCTATTTATTAATGTAATTATTCAATGCTCCGGAAAACAGACGAAGGTAATGACTGCGGACAAATAACAGCGACTAACATATAACAAAGAGATAAGCTTGTCTCTTTTTCTTCTCGGCACTTTCTGCCTCCCTCGGAAAGCTTCGCTCTTCGGCGACGTTCGTTCCCACCGAGCATTAAGTAATATTTTACCAGGTTTGTAACACGATCGTATGACGTTTTGATAGGTCAAGTTCATAGTCGATTCTACAGTATTAAACAGAGGCGACTCGTGCGATCGGCTGTAAAATTTTCGCTTCGCTTGTTATCCTCTGCGCCGTGTGATAAACGTGGATGGAAGGCTACAAACGTCTAGCGGAGCCTGACGAAATAGCCCAATTGACCACTCCAGAAATACCATAACATACCATAATGCTCTTTGTTTGCACCCTAAAATTTTGCATAAGCATTGTCTTCAGTTTCTCTAGGGAGTTAAAATGGCCCCAAGAGAAACTGAAAAACAATGCTTATGCAAAATTTTGGGGTGACAAACAAAGAGCATTATGGTATGTTGTGATATTTTCAGGAGTGGTCAATAGCCAACTTGGATACATTAAAACTCTAACATGTCCCCGAGGCTTTCTGGTTTAGTAAAATCCAAGTAGTGGTCTATTATCAATGCTGAATTCTCATTGGTTGAGCTGCTACTAAGCTATATGTTATAGCCCACTAGTAGCGAAATTTGCCGGCTTTGATAACCAGAACAATAGCGGCTGAATGGCGCTTTGCTAGCTAAAGTTGTTTTGTTTCGATATTTTTTACCAACTAGTTGCATTTTACTGAAACAATTATCTCTCGCCATTATGGCGTCTGAGTCAATGGCCCATTCGGCCTTCGGCCTTCGGCCTCATGGGCTATTGACTCAGAGCCCATCCGGGCTCGAGGAATAACTGTTAAATATTACTGTATTTAGTTTGGTTTTCTTGTGCTCAAGTCTCCTGTGGAAACTGGGAGAGAATAGAGTCGTGAAAAATTTGCAATTTTGATTCTAAAGCCTCGGTGTCATGTTAGAAGTTTGATGTAACGAACGTGGGCTATTATATTGAAAGAGCTTCCTCGGACCAGTCCTAAAAGTCTTTTAAACACGAGTGTCTACCAAAAATCTCTTTTTCAAGGATATCTGCAAGGAGCTGAAACTGCCTGGAGGAACTGGCAAATGTTTTCAGAGAGACCCCCCCCCGCCAAAAAAATGAAATAAAAATATGAAATAAAACAAAACGTTTGGACCGGGTTCAAATCTGGCGACGACGCCATATGGAGGTTGAGTTTGTTGATTGTTCTCTCCTTTGTTTGCAATCTGGGGTCAATTTAATAAAACTTTTACAAGTGCGATTTACAAGTGTAGCCATGTTTTTAGGGTCTGAGGACAATATCTACACTTCACTGACACTGGTAATGTACACTTGTAGAAGTTTTATAAAATTGGTTTTCCCCTCTCTTGAAAAACTAACACTTCAAATCCAAAATCAATCTATGGAACGCACGGACACATTTAAAAGTGTTCTTAAAGAACGCCTAAATATTTTGTACGTAAACAAATTACAACATACGATTTTTGCAATCATTATCATAATCGATATTAGAGGGGTTAATAGAGACTGAAGGGCTGAATCGAGGATATACCCTTATGGACTAAGATCTATTCACAAGCTCAGCTAAAACGCCTGTTTGAAGGCTTCAGTTCATGATAGCTGACACGTTATGTGATAAGGTCTAAGGCTTTTAAAAGTCAGTAACAGAGGAAGACAGTTGGCAAGCGAATATGGTTTAAGTGATTATATTCCTGGCTTTGAAATCGTTCTCCTCTGGTGTTACCAAAACAGGTAGTCCAAGTTTATAGAAGCAGCTGGGTACTATATGAGTCTAAAAGACAAACCCGAAAGAACGCCATGCAATCGATTCTCGTCTTATTCAACTTGTCTACATTTTTTATTTTCGGTTTTAATGCTCTGGAGTACTCTAATCGATGGACAGTGCAAATTGATGGCGACAATGACGAGGCAGATAGACTGGCTCGAAAACATGGCTTTGTAAATCACGGCAAGGTAAGTAATTTGCCTTAACCTCATCTAAGATCTAGAGAAAGTGGCCTTACGAGTGGTTCGTAGCGATTATCTGAATCTATCAGCATGGCCTTAGATATGCCATCCGCTAGATACCCTTATTATTCTTTTAAGCATTTAGGCTTGTCGTCTGGTTGTTTAGCACGTAATTAATGCGTCCGAAGATATACACATAGATCACGCCTAACTAAACAATTCGGCCAAAATAGTGACTTCTTAGGCGTGCACGATAAATCGAAATATTCACTCTTAAAAAGCTGGGTTAAAAACATGATAATTTTTCTGTTTTTAAGCCAAGAGAAAGCACAGCCAAGTCAAAGTGCCACGCATCTGCTACTAAGGGACGTAAATAAAGCGGATTCTTTTTCCAAATATATATCACACTATACAACTGTTTGCCCGAATTAAAAATACTATAGGATCCTACAGTATTTGGGATGATACGCTAATTCTTGATTAGTCAGAGAACAAGAGAGAAAGGAAAATGAAAAGCGTGTACACACGGGTTCCACCAGATATAATCAAGGTTTTTGACAGCATCGTTAGTCATCCGATCAGCATGGCTCGACTTGTTAGGACGTTTTCTCTCCATATGTTGGACTTGAATCCTAGTCTGCTACACAGCCGTTTTTAGGGTCGTCACGCAACGCTCCTCCCCACAAAAGGCTGCTCAGAACCGAACCACTTTCTTTTCCCTTTGTGTTTGTGGTCTAACGAACAAACCAATCATGTATAAGAAACTTGACAGTACTTGAGCCGCAGGGCGCTAGGATGCGAACACGCTTCTCAATTTTCAACAAATCAATCAATCGTCGCTGGACGGCCTGGCTTTGTGTCTACAAGCTACGAAAAGGTTTTAATAAAAATTTGCAAATTTGCAAATTTGCAAATTTGCAGTTCCAAGGTAAAAAGAAAAGGCTTGATAGCCCTACAAGGCTCTTAACAGGATAGGTTGGTTCTTTTTAATGTGCATGTTTTCGGGGGCATATGTATGATGAATGTGCTCATTGTGTTGCTCCGGGGTGCAGTTCATGCGAGGACTAAACTCCCAAGAGTACTGATTCAACTATCGATGAGCGATTTCCCAAAACTACCCGGAAACTTTATAAACACATCCATGTTGAGCATCACATTTGCTCGGCTTGCTTGCTGCTGCTGTTTATCTCATAAATTTTGAACAGGACTACCACAACTTGTTTTCACGCAACGATTTAGATTGTTCTGTCATTCACACGTGGGGCACCGATAAAAGCAAAGCTGGGATTGGAGGAGTCACCGTGGCGCGAACACCTTCCAGAAAATGGGAGCTGAATTCTAATTTGGTTAACTGCAGGAAAAGCATGTAGTTCGATTCTCAGCAGCCGTTTGTGGGGAGGAGAGTTGCGTGACGACACTAAAAACGGCTGCTTAGCAGACCACTTGAATCCTGAAGTTTCATATTAATCAAATCAACCTAGCCTGCGCAGCATTGCGGTTTCTCAGCCCTCGCCCGCCTTTATTACTTAGCGCGCCCAACCAAAACCGCCATGCTACACAGGCTAAATCAACCAGATCCATGACCCCGAGAAACAGTGCTCTTTTCGATACCTACAATGCAATCTAGTTTAAATACCACTTCATGTTGACGGTATAAGTCACATATGACCATGAAACTGAAGGACATGAGGCCGTAGATAGTCATTTCTTTGGTTATGTGTCTTGAAAGGCTAATCTTCACAGAGAAATAACAAAAATATCTTTATCCTTTTTACTTTTTCCAGACGCCTTTTCAGAAAATGAGATAATCAGTAAACCCCATCTTGCTGAAGTCTTTCCTATCTTCCTTGATCGATTGCGCCTACTCATGCATGCCAGGGGCGGATCTAGGGGGAGGGTGCAGGGGGTGCGCAACCCCCCACCCCCCCTGAGGTGACCTGCGGTTTTCTAATACAACTGGTATTCTGCAAAAAAAAAAACTATGTGGT